AATGTTAGCTACCATATTATTATTATTATTTATCCTTAAAGGCACTCTTTGAGTCCCACATCCTTTAGGGAGCCTTCCTACCTGCTTGTTAACATCCTCCCCATCTATCTTTTAAGGCCTAGCTCAAGTCCCAGTATCCAAGGAAGCTTTCCAACCCACCCCAACCCATAGCAGTCTGTGCCTCCCCTGAAGTCACATACAGCACATGTTGCCTATACTGCTCAGAACAGGATGCCTTATGGAATCTCCACACCACTGGATCAGCCTCATCTTTTTCTTGCGTTGTTTTATAAAAGGAATTTCCCTGGCTGGTGTAACAAGGGGGCAGCACCTCTGTGAGGCCTCAGCACCAACAGTGAGTAACAAAAGATCTGGTTCAGTAGCCACAGCTAGAGCTGCCTCCCATCCTCTTTGAATGGATCCTCATTCCCCAACCATTAATATGCACAATGGCCAGAGAACTTACACAGGTTAATGTTGACAATGTGGTTGTCGTAGCCTCAGGAGACAGACTCCTATGTCCCACACCTGTTCAAGTGACAAAATACATATGTGTCAAAGACCACCTTCACACACTGCAGCAGCATCACAATCTCCATGACCTACCAGGGCAGCAGGGTACTTATCTGTGCAGGACGTGAGGGGTGAACAACCACCAGTTGGGTCCAACGTGGGCTTTTTTCAGGGCTAGACACGGCTGTAACTGGGTGAGATGATCAGGGCTTTGTCCCAAGATACCAAAATTTAGTGAGCACAAAAAGTCAGTGCATGTACCCTCACAGAGAAGGCTACTATAAGAATTAATTCCCTGCCCCTTACCGAATTTATTTTAATTATTTCTAATATTATTTTCCAAGCATGAATTACAAATATCTATAACACACAAGGAATGTTGAACTGAATGTTAATTTTTAGTAATGTATAGGGAGATGCTGCTTAGCATCACTGATTAATTTTGCAAAAGCATGACATGGAGGGACAAGAGAGAGGGCTGCTAGGTCTATGGGAATGATACTGATGTATATGCAGTAAGAAAGATGTCAGGGATAAATGCTCAGAGAATTAATCAAAGGACTTACCTTACATTATCACCAGCCATCTCATATGCCTCTCAGGCAATTAGCAGAGCAGTGTCGTTGGAGTTTAGCATTATTAAAAAAAACTATTTTAGGATCAGAGATTAAGAGCTGGAATGGACCTTACAGACCATTTGGTCCAACCCCCTCATTATAATAATAATAACTAACACATATAGAGTTTTAAGGTTTTCAAAGCACTATACAGCTTCTCATTTAAACCTCACAACAACCTTGTAAAGTGCTGTTATTATCCCATTTTACAGATGAAGAAGCTAAGACACAGAGAGATTAACTGATTTGCCCAAGGCCACCTGGCTAGTAAGTGCCTGAGGTAAGATTTGAACTCTGGTCTTCATTCCAACTCCAGACCTCCTAGCTACATCTCCTTTAATAAGATAAAGAAAATCAGGGGCAGCTAGGTGGCACAGGAGATAGAGCATCAGCCTTGAACTCAGGAGGACCTGAGTTCAAAGCCAGCCTTAGACCAAACACTTGACACTTACTAACTGTGTGACCCTGGGCAAGTCACTGAATCCTAATTGCTTAAGAATTTTTTTAAAAAAGATAAGGAAAATTAAATCCAGGATGTTTGCTCATGAGCACGCCAGGAGTATCAGAAACAGAATTTGAACCGAGGCCTTCTATCTCCAAAGCCAGCATCCTTTCCACTCTACCATCTTGCCTGCTTTAGTTAGTGATATTGGGGAACAAGGTTGGTTAGGCATCTAACTGCCTGCATTTCCCTCAGATTTGGCCTCATTTCAGACCTAAGCAGATGTTCCCAGATCTCCCACAAAGCCAAAGGTAGTTCTCTGCACTGCCCTTTTCCACAGACACCCCCTTCTGGTTTGGGGCACAGCACTGACAAACCTCAACCGAGTAAAAACTGCTGCAGAAAAGACAAACGCGGGCCAGACCCCAGAACCCATTATGAAGTTCTCCAAATCGCTGTCCTGATCCTTCTTGGTCTCTGGAAATTTATTATATTGCATGTATGAAAAGTCATTATACTGTATTATTATGAATGTATTATCATCCTTTCACTATGCAGAAGTCACCCATCATTTTCATTGTACACTATCACAAGGTGGATCTGAGGACTGAGGGGACAGTCAGAGTAATTTCACAGCTACCTGTGGCTCCAATTACTACCCTTCTCCTCCCCTACCTCCCCTCCCTTGGGACAACAGGAGAAAGCCCAAGATCTTCCCCTGACCTTGGTACTCATAGCAGAAATGGGTGTGGTTAAGCCCTTGGGGAGTCAAGCAGATGTGACAAGGAACAAGTTTAAGAGTTGGAAGCAAAATGTGGATCTCAAGCGCTTTGTGTGTCTATGCTTTATGGATGAGTGGATGCATTTTCAAGGGAGAGACACCATGTCCAGGTAAGCCAAACCACTACTACCACCTTGATCACCAAACCCTCTCCAGACCTCAATGGAGACAGCCCAAGACCCTAAATCTAAGAGTCCTGAGATTAGCAGTGCCCCCCAAACCACCAGACCCGCTTCCAGCCTGTCCCCTGAAGCAATCACTGAGGGCAGAAATCATTGCGGAGAATGGACTCACTTAGTCACTACCACCAGCAACACTGGCTTACGGGCTGCCAGTAACAAGAAGATAAGCACAAGGAGTGGTAGCATCCCCTGAACCACCGGTCCTGATTCTGGCTCAGCCCTCTTGGCCATCACCCAGGAAAGCGACTCCTAAGGAGAAGGCACCCACCATCCCCACCAACTACCAGCCAACTGCCACCCACAGTGCAGGCAGGTCAGGCCAGCACCACCACCTTGACCACCATCTCTCCTCACCCTGATGGGGCCAGCCCAGGACCCTGGAAACGAGAGCCCTGAGAACGGCAATGCTTCCAGGTCAGTGTGTGCAGCCACCACCTTGGGAAGAAAACCCTCTTGGAGGTGCAGCCTGGCAGCCAGTCCTGCCTGTACTACAGACAAAGCTACTGAAGACCCAGAAAGGAGAGTGGTGGCACCAGAGCCTTTGGCAGCAAAGTCAAAAAGTTCAACATCAGACACTTTTATGATTTTATCAGTGGAAATGACATGAAACATTAAAGAGGCGTTAACAGCTGCTTTGCCACTACACCCAAGGATGTAGGACCTTTCCATCTGACCTGCAGCTGAAATCTTCCAAATGTTTCGTTTCTCACTATTAAAATGGGAGCTCCTTGACAGCAGGGGCTGTCTTACTTCCCTATTGGTTCCTCAAGTGTTTAGCACATAGTAAGCACTTGATAAAAACCTTTTCCTTTCATTCATTCATTCATTTGCTCACAAATGGGCATATCTGTGTGACTGTGCTGAAGTCTGTACCTCCGGGAGCCTTCCCCAGGTCAGGGAGGCTGGGTGTGTGAATGGGTTTTGCGGATGCAGATGCCTAAGCCAGTGGCCAGTATGGATCTTGGCCCTGTGGGAAGCTGCAGATGTGTACATGGGTAAGAGAAGTTTTTAAGGAAAGGTTCTTAACCTGTGGTTTGTGAACTTAAAAAAAAATAAATTCTGATAACTGAATTTTGACATAAAATGTTTCCTAAGTAATCCAAATGTATTTTATTTTACGCATTTAAAAATATCATTCTGAGAAGGAGTCCACAGACTTCACTGGACTGCCGAAGGGGCCCACGACATAGACAAAAAGGTGAAGAAGCTATCGTAGGCAGGTATTTAGCCTATGTAATTGCTGGAGTCTGAAGGTAGACTCTTAAGTGGCAGCCCTTGAGACTATGATGATAAAAAGTTCTGAACAGATAACTCTGAACTGACAGAGATCTGGGTCCCTGGCAGACAGCAAAAGGGAAAGGAAAGTCTGGAGAGTAATATATGGACCCAGGAACTAGAAAGAGTGTGTGTGTGTGTGTGTGTGTGTGTGTGTGTGGCTATGGCATATGAGTCCACTGGAACAAATACTATAGTGGAAATAGCAACATAAGGTGGCGTAGAAATAGAACTTCATAGCTAAAAATAAGCCTTCACCTGGACTGTGATGGAATTCCAGGCCAAGGGTCTTGATACTTGAACCCAGCTCCAGCCCTGAGGTAGCAGAGCCTGATGCAGGGAGCATGTACTCTTCCCAGAAAGCAACTGGTGTTTTCTTTGTTACAGAAGTAACAAAGGAAATCATTCTGAAACAGCTCCAGGGAACCCAGTTCAGGTCTAAATAGACTGAAATATTTCAAACCAGAGAAGTCAAAAGTGATCGGAAAGATGGGAAAGGAGAAAACCAATCAGAGTGGTCTGGTTCCCCTGTCCGGATTGCTGGAGGCGGCTGAGTCTTATGATCAGGCCATGATTTCAGCAGGAAGAACTGAAGACTTCTAGCCTACCTCTTCATTAAATATTCACCAATCAGGGTTGATTTTCACTTGTTGGGGCACTCTCTTTTTCCAGTCTCTCCATGGTTTTGTCTGGTTACTGAGAGAAACCAATGACGATTAATGTATTGGTTATCAGCTAGCCTAATTAATCAACTGATTACTAACTACCCAGAAACTCTGTCTCGGGTTTTTTTTTTATTAGTCACACCTGTATCACTGAGTCAAAGCTGGAAGGGACCTTAGAAACCACTGAATCTAAACCCTCATTGTACAGATGAAGAAACTGAAGCACAGGCAAGCCACGTGACCAGGGAGATAATTAAGGGTCTGATGCAGGATCTGAACCTGGGTCTCCCTGATCCCAAATCCTGGGCTTATTCCAGCACATCATCTCCCACCATGACCAAATTTCTTCTTCTCCAAACTAAACATGCCCAGTTCCTTGAACCCTTTCTCACAAGACATTCTGCTTTGTAATTTCAATTAGAACTTTTCTTTTCTCAGTTTTCATAAAGGCTCTTTGTCTTCTAAATGAGGTCCTACAAAGCAAAAATAAATAGAACCCCAACATTAAAACACAGCACTATAATAGCCAAAGAAAAGCTAATGATATTTATTAAAAGCAACACTGCAAAAAAGACAGCTCTATAATCCATATTCAATAGCGAGAGTTTTTTCAAAGCTGTTTTCTTCAAGTTTAAACTACTTTCCGGATTTAAAGACTCCAGTGAAATCAGCCAAAACTTCCTCAGAATGTTTTCTCCTTGTGAATATGCATGTTGACTTTTTACATAATTACTAACTGGCTTCAAGTAGCAAAACAAAAGCATTGTCAAATTTGGTTCTTTTAGTTTGAAAAACTAAAACAAAAAGCTAAGGCGGATTCTCCCACTGACGCGCTCCTCCAAAACCGTGTTATGGCATGGAGGTGACCCTGGCTTGGCTCCTGAAGGCCTGGAAAGTCTCTCTGTCATCCCAAGCCCAGGAGGTCTTGCTGAATTCTGAGAGGCTCATCACCAGAAGTCTCTGAAAGTAAAAAGAGTGCTAATTTCTATAGTACTACAGGAAGCTAACCGTAGAACAATACTCTGAGGCAGCTAGTGAAAGTATCAGTCCTATTTTAAATAAAAGGAAATTGAGGCAGAATAGCAAACTGACTTGTCCAAGTAAGTGTCAAGGCAAGGACTCACACTTGGCTGTTCTGACTCCAAGACTTGTGCTCTTCCCATTACGCTGTGTAAGTGCTGAAGCAAAAGCAACCTCGAGAAAAGGGGATGGACTATCGTTTAAAAGCTAACACGTAACTTTCATACTTGTCCATTTACAACAACAGAAACTGCTGTTGAACGAATGATGGCCTTGATTATGATAGGAATGCCTTAGGAAACAAAATGCCAACTCAATGCAGAGAGCCATGGAGCAATCTTTAAAATTTAGATGTGTCTGAGAGAGATCCACCCTAGAGCTTTGCCAGGAGAGTATGGTCCAGGGGTCACAAAGAGCTGGACACGACTGAACAACATCAGCTTGAGAATCTGACCCAACAAAAAGGACATCCAAGTTCTACACTGCATAAGGCAAGATCCCTGAGAGATGACGGTCATGACTTGATTAAATCTTTAATCTCAAAGTCATCCACAACCCACATCTAATTCAGGCTATGGGGGCAAGTATACTTGGCTCCTGATCTCTAAGTCCTCTAAGGAGACACATTTAACATGCTGATAATGAACCATACTGAGCAAAGGCTTTAAAGGGAACCAACTGCAAAAGATTTATTATTTATTCCCAAGTTTGTCTTTCTATACATATATACATGATATTCACATATATAATCTATAAAATAACAGGTTTCTGTGTAAATAAGACATCTAAACATATGGAGGAGGTGAAAGACTGCCGAATACCTAAAAACACATTATATTGTGCTAGAACCCTGGAAAATTTAAACAATATCCTTAAAAAAAAAAAGAAAAAAAAGCTTTCCAGTTCTAGTCCAAGTTTCCCAATTTGTCCACTCCAAAGCTATCGCAAGACTGCTCCCCTCATCATTAATCTTCTAAGAGAAGCTCTAGTTCTTCTATTGGCACCCGAACTCTTAATTCCTTCTCAGTCATCAGATCCAGGATTTCCTGGATTTGATCAGGGAAATAATCCACTGCATCCATATATAACACCTATAACGAGAAAGAACAAAAAAAAGGGGGGGGAGGCAAATTACGTCTTATAAATTAGGAAAGAAGTCAAGCAATTTTCAATAAACAAAAGCAAAAAAAGAAAAATATTTGGAAAGGAACAGGAAATGAACCTTTCTGTTAACAGCTTCAACTAACATGGTAAGAGCAAGGATCCTTTCTTCTCCCTCCCCTGCACATGTGCAGATTCAGTGAAAAGTGAAAAGGCTACTCAAAACAAAAAACTAAAGTGGTGTCTAAATGTGAACACTGTCAAAGACAAGCAGAAAGGAGTAGTCAATTGGCCATAGTACTTATTAAGTAAGCACCGTAAGAGAGGGACGCAAAACCTAAGATGAATATACAATCTGGAGTTAAGATGAGCCTAGAACCTAGGCAGAGATAAGAAAAACAACTTAGGGAAGCAATCTCCCTCCCCTACCCCTCCCCAAAAATTCTTTCCTCAAACTTTAAATGAAAGAGTATGAAAAGGAAAAACAAATGTTGTATTAAAGGGCAAACTCCCAACAGAATATACTTTATCCAATGTAACCATGTTTTTCCTAAAACAGGCAATCAGCACAGGCATGGAAGAACTCCCCCCAAACAGACAGAGGTGATGTAACTTCAAGCTGAGACTCAGTCATGCATCAGCCTTTATTTTTAACCTACCTTTGCCCAGGGACAGTGCTGGAGAGCTCTGTAAAACACACCTTTGCTTCTTTCTTTGTTTCCTAGCGAAACCTAAAGGGACAAAGAGAAAAAAGGAGACCAATGAAACAGGGTAATCTGAAATGAGGCAGTTAGAACTAAAAATCCTACAATGACCCAAAAAAACACACTACCTATATCATGATGACTCAACTTTACCCGTGGTCAATTCCTGGGTGACTTCAACCATCTAGCCAGTTAAAAGACTACTTATAAACTCCAGCGCTCCCTATCACCTCCAGGATCAAAACCAACTCCTCTGTTTGGTGTTCAAAGCCCTTCATTACCTAGGCACCTTCATGCCTTCATAACTAGGCCCCTTCCCTGCATGCCTACCTCACCCCACCCCTTTCCAGCCTCCTCATACCTTACTTTCTGACACATACCTAGTGCCACTGGCCTTGCTGACATTTCAGGAACAAGACACTCCCATCTGTTGGCTCTGGCCTTCTCTCTAGCTGTCCCCAAGCATAGAACCCTCTCTCTCCTCTGCTCTGACAACTGACCTCCCTGGCTTCCTTCAAATCCCAACTAAAACTCCATCTTTTATAGGAATCCTTCCCCAATCCCTCTTAATTCTCATCCTACCCTCTGTTCATTATTTTTTAATTTATACTGTACACAGCTTGTTTGTACATATTTGTTTCCATGTTGTCTCCTCATTAAATTATAAATTTACTGAGGGCAGACACCCTAGCTAGCACTTAAGGTGGTGCTTAGCACATAGTAGGTACTTAATAATGCTTACTGACTGAAAACAGACCGGCATCATCTTCCGAGCCTCAGTCACAAAATTTTGTAAACATCACGGATTTAAGAAGCTTACAGTTATTAGAGTTTCCTTATGGAGAAGCAGTCTCTTTGTTCTGTAAAACTTGGACTCAGTCAAAAGGCTGAACCTGAGGACCTCAAAGGCCACATGTGGCCTCGAGGCCCAAGGCTGCCCACGCCCCGGGTGTAACTAACAAGCAGTAGTCCTAATGATCTGATCAATCTTTTTGTAAGATGTTCATTAACTTCCTAGAGATAAAGTATGCTTAACTGTTCATGTCCAGCTACCCATGTAAAGAAGCTATACACTGGAGATGATTTGGTTTCAGTTTCTTCTGTTTTTTGGATTTGGTTTTTTTTTGTTTGTTTTTTTATCTGACGGATATATGTTGCCTCTACTTAGTGAAAAGAAACTTTTCTTAAAAAATGAAAAGCCTGAAGCTTGCCAGGTTCTTGACTTTTTTTCCCCTTACCTCAGTGAGAAACAAATATGGACTGCTGACAGTTTGTATGGGGCCATAAAAAGTGAATTTGAGAAAATAGTGATATCTACCAAACAATCATTAAAAACACTACATCTATACAACAATCATGCAAGTGCTCATGCAAAACTGACAGTGGGTGAGATGGATATACTGATTCATCAAATGGGGAAGGGCAAAATGAAAAGGAATTTTCTCCTCCCACCAACATTTGAAAATAGCAGCCTTTGAAATTATACTGACTTCTGTCTGTGATTGGCAAAAGGGAGGGGAAATTACACGGGAGGATGGCAAAATAAGATCCCACATTTAACAAGCCAGAAGTGCCATTCCCACAATTTCTATTTACTGATGCTTCTTTTCTCACTCAAAGAAAACCATCGCATTCAAGTTGTTTTCTTTGCACTTTAGGCAGATAAACAGATTCTACACAACCCAATCTGAAGAGAGCTAAGTCACTACAGTCAAAACAATAAAAGTTTGGAACACTATCCTGGTAATTCTTTATAAAAGTAAAAGACTTGAAAGCTACAATTTAACATTATTAAGCCAGTACTGAGTGAATCACAGGCATTTCTTTCGTCCAGCTAACTTCTTCAGAGTGGGCCTAGTTTCAAGACCTATGTTAAAGTCTCAGCTCCTTCACGAATCCTCCATCCCAGAAATTCTGATCTCTCCCTTTTCTGACCTTTTAAGGCACTTACTATCTGTCCCATGCTTTTTGACATTTAATGATACTCTATCTTTGGATAATAAATCAGGGATGAATCAGCAGTCTAACATGCTAGCTACTTTTTATATGCCAGACAAGCTCACTTGCTTGGTAAGAAACACAGATCTTTAGAGCTAGAAAGGACTTAAGAAATCACCTACAGCAACCCTCTCCTTATTTGACAAATGAGAATACTCAGGCCAAAACAGGTTAAGTAACTGGTATAAGAACATACAACTAGCTAGTGACAAATCTACAACTCAAGCCACTTAACAAATCTCAGCCTCAGTTTCTTCGCCTGTAAAATGAGGGAGCTGGATTAAATGACCCCTAAAGTGTCTTCTGGCTCTAAATCTATGATCCCATGTATTGACTAGGATTGGCATCTCCTCTGGTAGTCACTCCATGACGAACGAGCTCCTGAGCCCAGGAAGCAAGGTTCTCCAAAATCTGGCTCTAACTTTCTTTCTGGAGTTATTTCTCACTTCTTGCCTTCTCAACTCTGACATTGCCATTCCCCAAGCTCTTCTTTCCTACCTCTTTTCCTTTGCCCACACTGTCCCCAGGCCTGGCCTACTCTCCTCACCAGTTCTTCTGTTGAGATTCTTTCTATCTTTCGAGGTCCAGCTTCAGGTCCTCTGTGCGGCTGTCCCCGATCTCCTGAAACCAGAAGTCCTCACCCTCTACTTGAATTTTCCATAGCTCTCAGTACTCTTCCTGTGCATTTTCACTTGTAATATAATTCTATCTCTATTTACCTATCCTACTAGATTACGAACTTCTTGAGGGAAGGCTGTGTCTCATTCATCTTTGTATCCCAGCACCTAGCACAGTGAGCAAACAGGAATCTATTTTTGTCTCATCAGTTATACAAAGACTCCTGGTGCAGTGTTATGAGTACATCATCCCCTTCTCCACCCCCTTTCATGACTCTCCAGTTTCTAACCCTAAATTCTAAATTCATTTCTAACACTTAATTCATTTCTAACCCTGACAGAAGAAGGAAGACCAAACTCCTTTACCTGGCCTTCAAGGTCTTCCATAAACTGACTCTAAACATACCTTTCTTATCTCTCTATGTTCCAAAGAAGACGGATTATTTATTGCTCTAAACTTTCCCATTTCTGTACCTAATATCATACCTAATGAAATACCCTCCTGATCATCTTTACCTATTGCCATCTTCCTTATTTTTCGAGGTCCAGCTAAAATGCCATCACCTCCATGAACCCTAATTCTTGATTCCCTCTTACTAAAAGTGATTTCTCCTTCATCTACTCCCATAACTTTTTATACTCTCTCCTACAACTGTATCTTAATATGTGCTGTATTTACCTATGTCCATATATGATTTCCCCCACTAGACTGTAACCTCTCCTTGAAAGCAGTTTTTTTATCTTTGAAGGACATGTCTTTTCATCTCTGTCTCTCCCTGTACACTATACTGCACACAGAAAATAATATTTGTCAAATGAATGTTGAGTAAAAAGAAAATTGAACCACATGCAACGATATTTTATGATGATCTAGTCGTTATACATTTTTAAATGATCATAAAATATAATATAATTTGGAGATATATATATATTTTTAAATCTACACTCCAGATCTGAATCAACTTTCTTTACTTAAATATATGAAAAGATAATCAGGGCTTTGAAATTCTGAGCAGAATGGCAGAGAATCAAATCGCTGTTATAGTAGAGCCCTGAAAACATATGTCAAATTGATTCCTTTACTCTAACAACTCAGGAAAGACTTAATATTTGGCTTTAACTCTGTATTCCAACCAGTTACAAAGTCTTGTTAATTCATCCATACTACATTTCATGAATCTGTTCCCTCCTGTGCTTTTACTCATCTTGTTCTTATCACCTCTCACCTGTAACACTGTAAATGCCTTCTTTCTAACAATGGCCTCTCTGCCTCCAGTTTCTCTTACCTGTCTGGCAGCTGACAAATTAATCTTGGACCATGGCAACTCCTTGCTCAAAAACCTTCAGTTGCTTGCCACTGTCTACAGGATAAAATACAAATGCTGCAGCCTTCAGCTCAGACCTGCCAGCATCCGGCTCCAGTCTACCTTCTACTCTTCTTTCTCATTACTCCCCTTCACCTATCCTGTGTCCAATCAACCACTAAGTTGTTCCTTACCTAAGCTGTATCCTGCCCCACCAGTTCTGTATTTTCATGCAGACCATCTCCCCTTTGGAACTAATTTTCTCTACATCTTTACCTGTTGAAATCCTTTTCTTTCTTTAAGACTCAACCTTTTTTCCACAAGCCTTCCTTGAACTCCCCAGCTTGAAATGTTCTTTCCTTCCTCAACATTTTAAAAACATTTTGTGTAGACCTCTGCTTTACATCTATCACAATTTGCTGTGTGGCATCCATATTTGCATCCAAGCGTTGCCCTTGATGGCAAAGACCATTTTGTTTTTCATTTCGCACCTAGCTCACCTAGTATCTAAAACATAATAGCCTGTGGAACTAAACTGATTAACTGTATACAAATAATTACTCCTATGATTCATTTCTAGACCTTTGCAAAATAAGAGACAGCCCAAATTCTAGTTTCTTACCAGAAAATTCAAATACATCCGCCATAATAAGGGGCAGTTACTGCCATTATCACTCCGAATTGCATTTTCAAATAACGCTTTGATTCGATTTGATAAACCTGTTTCAGGAATTGTTGAATGGATTTCTCCAGCATCTACTCTGTAAGAAAAAATAAAATAGACAGACTTTTGAGATCTAAAGAGATACATTATTTTGTCCTATTGCTTGGGAAGAAAGAGAAATTTTGGTAACAATAAGCTTCAATTACAATTAGAGCTGGTTACAATTACAATTACCCTACATAATTTAAAAAGCATGCCTTATCTAAATTTCATAACTTTATTTTAAAACTTTTTAAAATTAATTTTAATATCATTATTATTATTTTTAAAAACTGAGTCTCCCTACCTTGCCCAGGCTGGAAGTGCAGGGGCCCCCCTCTCAGCATGGGAGCTTTGAGCTTTGGTTTGCCCCTCCTTAGGTAACTTGGGTCCCCCACCACTCATCTGAGGGTTAGACTTAGTGTGGACACCCGATTGCTTAGCCCGTTTTAGCTTAACTCTACAGCTTAAGTGATTCACCAATTTCATTCTCCTAAGTAGTAGAGATTACAGGCAAATTCCACCACGCCTGACCCATCAACTTTGTGACCTTTTTAGTGCCTAGGGTCGCATATGGTAGATGGTGTATAACTGTAAGTGAAGTAGAAGCATGGCTTTTAATCAAAAGGATACAATTATGTTTGATTTGAGATAGAGATCTAAAGCATACCTAAGTTAATTGTGCCTTTAAATTTAAAGTAGAGAAAATATAAATCACACAGGACAATTAAAATCCAATCCAGTCAAAACATTTATTAAACAAAGTTCTGTGCTGGTTTAGGGCACGCATGAAGATGAAAAATGATACAGTCCTTGCCCTCAAGAAGTTTATAATCTAATTGCAGTGATGTGAACTACCCAAGTCAGTATGAACGCAGAATCACAGAATCTGAGAACTGGAAGAAATCTCATAGATTACAATCCAGTTCACACTTAAAAGGAAGGAATACCTCCCTTTACAACATCCTCAACAAATAGTCATCCAGCACCTGCCTGACCATTTCCGGGGGTGGGTAATTTACTGCCCTCCAAAGAAGCCAGTCTTCCTTTGGACGAAGCTAAATCATAAGAAAGATTTTCTTCATACTGGGTACCAAACCTGCCTCTCAACAGTTTCCACTGATTGCTCCTAATTCTGCTCTCTAGGTCCAAGGAAAACAAACCTATCCTTTCTTCTGCAGGACAGACCTCCAAGGTACTTGGAGAGGTTGCCATGCACCATCTCTCACCCCAGATAAGACATCTTTTCTCCATAGTAAACGTCTCCAGCTCCCCTAAAAGATCCTCATATGGCACAGTTTCTAGTTTTCTCACCTACTCAGATATATACATTCTAGAGCTGGAAGGAAACCTAGACATTATCTAATCTAACCCCCTCATTTCCTATTTAAAAAACTAAAGCCCAGAGAGTCAAAGTGACTTGTACATTGTCACCCAGGTAACAAGGAGCTGAGCAGGAATTTGAACCTAGTACCTCTAATCTGAAGACCAGATCTCTTTGCACAACATTATCTTAAACACACCCAAAATAATTCTCTCCTACACAAAAATGTTTCGGTACTAAAATTTCCAGGTTTGTTAGAGTAAAATACAACAAAATGAAAGACTTTGAGAGCAACCAATGCTTCAGCTCAAAACCACTGGTTAACTCTCAGTTAGAATAAAGAGTCAAGAATTAACCAACTGGATTTGGCTGACTTTAAAACAATGAGATTTTCACTTAAAAAACATTTGACTGCAACTAACCAAACACCTCAAGTTGAAATTGGCAGACGCCACTTGTATAGCATAATCAGAATTCACCAAACTTTCTACACTACCAAAAGGAGGCCCTGTATGTACTGGGAAAGAGAGAACTCCAGCTCCTTCTAATCAAGGATACTAGTGGCACTGCATTATAAATATCTTGATATATTTTCAAATCTGTCATCCTCTAATACCCATGGTTCTTTGCAGGCTACAGGAGTTATGCTATTATTATACAAATACCTCAGAACAGCTTCCACCAGCCTTTTCCTCATTTTCTCAGCTTGGACTGCAAAGAGCCGTGGCTCCAGGGATTTGGTAGACCTCATGATGACATCAAAGAATCTTCTTGTCTTGCTGGCATTATGGGATTTGTTTTGGATCTGGACATACGACCTCCAAAGAACCTGGTTGCCCGGATACAATTTTAAAGCCTCTGAAAGTGCTTCTCGCAGAGGATTCAAAGGGAACACACTCACTTTCATGTGATACCTGAGTAGATTCGTGTGCATCAGTGTGACAGCTTCGAGGGCATTGGTCAAATTTGGGGTTCCAATGTTTGCACTTGGCCCTGTGAATTCTGATGAAATGGACCCTTTAAGTCTTTCAAACACCTGCTTATATATTTGTATAGCAGCATTAACCCCTATGGTCAAATACTGGAAAAGCATAAAGCAGCCAACCATGCTAACTAGATGACCAGTACAGGGTTCTGAACTTTCATTCAAATGCTTCTGAAGCGTGTGCTCGTACGCTTTGCGGGCTTTCAAAATGCTCACAGCTAACACCTGTCCAGTATACGGGGTGTATGGCCCATTCTCAGTTAGCTTAGTTAATATATGGATTGCTCTGGATGCTGCAACCCCTTCCAAGTTCCCTGACAGTTCCACTTCCAGTGCAGCATAAAGTAGGCTTAAGTCATAGAGGCTAGAACTTGTGTCTTCTGGCCCTGCCATGCTAAGGGCAGTGTCAAAAACCTTCCGGGCATCTTCTATGTTGCCAAGTAACCACTCCAGATGGGCATACTCTTTCCAAAGGCAAAAGCTGTTTCGGTTCTCAGGTTCCTTGAGGAGATTCTTGGCCAGCTTTTTGCATTTTTTTCCTTGATTCTTCAATCTCTTCTTGTTTTTAGTTTGCATATACCAAGTAACCTACAGGCAAAAAGAAAAAGATAGTCTTAAACACTGGCAACCTTTAAAATTAAATTCACTCTGTACTCTTAAATTAACTGCTTTATTCTTCCAACTTTACACAGAAAACACAAGTCAATCTATGTTACATTCCTCTTATTATGCTATCATTATACTCCTGAGATCACAGGATCATAGAGTTCAAGGCAAAACAGACCTGTCACATTATCTCCTCCAACTCTGGATGAGAGAAACTGATGGTAACTGTCATTAATTCAGCAGGAATATTGATTTAATTCAGCAAAAAACACTTATTCCACAGAAGTGAAAACATTATCAGTGTTTTTATTTGAAATTCCTAAACACATGGTTATAGATCCTTGATCTGTTTTACTCCAAAGACATTTAATATCCCAATTTTTGGAAAGATGTTATTTTAACAAGACAATCTAAAGTGATAGTCTGAAATTTAGCCTTTGGAATTTGAAGCAAGAAGAGTCAATATTTAATGTGTCCAGCAGGGGGCAAAATAGGTCAATCACAGTTTTTAGTATATGATGCCCAAATAAGAGTTGGGAAATAAGCAACTTTATCCAAACTTGAATTTATCAGAATTCTTAAGGCTAACTGCTCCCTAATCACAGAAATCTTACAATATAAACAACCAACATAGCATTCACTGTATTTCAGTACCTCATATTATCTATTCTCATTCTATTCACTGTTCTCCCAGTGATGAAGTCACACATACAAAATATGGGGAGAACAAATTAAGGATTTGTTCTGAAGGATCATTAAGGGGTGACTACTATGACAGGCAATAACAACAACTATAGTTGGCAATTAATTAATATTTAAGGGTTCACAAAGCACTTTATAAGCACTATCTTAGCAGATCCTAAACACCTTATGAGGAAGGTAGGTACTAGTGATATTATTCTCATACTTTGGGGGATAGGTAAGAGGGAGAATGGGATGACTGAGGCTGAAAGGTAAAGTCATATGCCTGTGGTCACTCAGGGCTGGGATTTAACATCACTGTCTCTTGGCTTCAAATCTAGCACTTCCATCACAATGCTATACTGTAATCCCAGAGAGAGCCTGAGAACTATAACGAACACGAATAATAAAAGTTATTCAGAAATGAATAAAGTACCAGACAAAGGTAGAAAGAATACAAATTACCTTAGCAATTTCATACTGCAACCATGAGAGGCAGAGATGAGATTTTTCTTTCCCTGAAAACAGGGGCAATATAAGATGAAATATATTCTGTATGAACTCCTCGCCTTCTTTGCAGTGACCCATCCGCTGTCTCTGTCTGTTCATTTTGTCCATGTGACCTACGCAATTAACCCCGGAAAATGATGGGTTGAAAAAAGTCAATGGCTTTTCATCAGAAAGCCCATCATCAAAAATATCATTTTCATCCATGGCAAGATAGAGGCATGGAGCTGGAAGATTATAGCGTGAAGGGACTCCCAAGAATTGTAGAAACGAATCAATCAGTTGAAGTTTTAGATCCAAGCTAGAAAGTTTTATGAGAGATAGCCCTAGATCATCAAATAACACCTAAAAAAAAAGGACAAATTTAGTAAAGTCAAACATCCAAGACTTCACAGTTTAACTGAAAAAACCCACCAACTTCCCATTTATTCAGTTATTTTCATAAGAGCACCCTGACGATTCAATATCTGAAGTATAAAAACAGACATAGACAAGTGTGAGGTTTGTCTATAAGATTCAAAGACCACAGAGTCACTATCTGAAGCTAGAGAGAGGAAAAAAATCTGCAAAACAATATGATTAGCATTTTATAAAAGTGAGTAAGTTTAAGTCAGTGTTTTTAAAAGCACTTTAGCTAGACCAGTATGTCTGGTCTAGACATACTAGTTCTGAAATCCAGTAAAACTGTTTCAGTAATTATTCACATAAATGGCAACTCTGCATCATTTTAAGCATAAAATAGACCACATTACTGTTTTACAGTTTCTGGGCAAAACTGCTCTAGAAATGAAAATTAGGCTAAAAAAAATCAATAAACCAAACATAGCAAAAGAAGGAAAATCCACAGCCAACTGACCACACTAACAACAATTTCAAGATCTTAGTAAGAAAATACAGAGACTTAAAATTGATTTAACAAAACCATTTTCAAAATCTATAGCCCCCAAGTGGCTACAAATTGTCTTATAAGCCATCCTGATTAAATGGGATAGGGTGGGGAGCTAGAAGTGGTGGCAAAACGGTGAAATAGTGAAACAGGAATGGAAGATATTCTTGGATTTTTAACAGCAAGAAAGCCAACATAAGTTAAAGTTTGGTCACTGAGAACCCAAGTAATTATATATCAATCGAACTTTTTCTCCATGCTTTTCTCGAAAAGAATGAGACAAGGAAAAGCAAGGGTCTCTTAGAAAAAGGGAACTCCCAGGATACATGTTTCCCCACATTTTCCACATCTAATTCCTACACAATGAGAATTGATGAATCCAAGGTCCTGCTGGATTCTCAAACATCAGAAGCTTAAGTACCTTCAATACAATTATTCAAAAGATTTTTTTTTAATAAGAAAGACTTTTGACCAGAAGGCTTGAAACCAAAAGGTTGTTTGTCGTGACTACTTCAAGCCAAGAGAGGGAACAAGTAAGAAGTAGAAGCAGGAATGCTTTGCTCAAGAATTCTGTTCAAATACATGGTTTTCCAATTCTTTGTTGAATAATACCAGCTTCCCTTCACTTTGGGCACTGTTTGATCTCAAGGACAGAGGGGCCTCAGTGAGCATGAGACAACAGCAGCAACAGGTACAATAATGATCAGCTCACACAAATACAGCACTTTCATAATAGAGATTCCTACTTAATCCTTATAGCAAATAACATATATATTATATATAACATATATACCAAATAATATATAATGACACATATAACATATAATGTTATTATCATCCCCATTTTCTAGATAATAACTAGCACTTACATGGTGCTTTAAGATTTGCAAAGTGACTTTCATATATCATCTTAATCGATCCTCATAACAACCCTATGAGGTAGATTCCATTGTTATACCCATTTTACAGATGAGGATACAGGCTGTGACTTCCCCAGGGTCACACCTACTAAATGTCTGAAGCAGGATCTGAACTCCAGACCGCCACCAAGTCCAACCCTCTGACCACTGTGCCCACTAGATGAGAAGCCCAAGGTTTAGTGGCTTAGTCACAGTCAGATGGTGTGTAAAAGGTGGTGTGAAGACCTGAAACTGGGTCCTCTGACTTTGAGGCCACAGCTCCCCTGACAAAACTGCTGGCCTTCCTTGCCAATGTACTGTCCTGTCCAACAAAGGTCTACAACCACGGTTGCTGCTCACTTATGACATAGTCACAGAAATCACCGATGACGGTTTTGAAAACACAGCTGCAAAAATGGGCAACCTCTTAGTTCTGCTTTAGACTGATGTACCAAAAGTTAAATTATTCTGACTTTTCAGAATGATTAATACAACTAACTATACTAAGATAGTGAACCTTGACGACTGAAAAAATTTTCCATGCTTTACCTATAACTTGTCACACACAAGGCAACATAATTGCTGTCTTGTGAAACTGGGTCAATTCCAGGAACCAAAATAGAATTCCCTCCTTCATTACAATTCAAAACCTACACAGGTGGATATTTGCTTCACAAATAAAAGGCTAGGTGTCACTGTGGACTCATCCCTCCTTGTTTACTCTCTACTAACTCTTTTCATGCTGTTTTAAAGTCACCCAACACACTCCTCAATCCCACTCTAACCCCCACCACCCACAGGGACACACAAATTTTAATAATAATGTCTTCTTTGTGATGGGGTCCTGGCCATATGAGATCGGGAGAGAAGGCTGGGAAGAAAGAAGTGACAGTACTCCTCTCCTGGCCACTCCCTCCCCAGGGGCATATGCATAGTCACAGGGCCACTACTGACAAGGTTAAAAAGAGTGCCCTGGACAGCTCCATGATAGACTCTCCCTGATGGGTCAATCATCTTCAAATTCACTAATGAATATTTTAATGATAATCGCCAATGTTTGCAAATCTTGTATATGTAAAACTTATCAATATCTCTTCAGCAGTTTCTTTTTTAAATTCATCTAATTAGAGGCAAAATTTAAAGTTCACCAGAAATTTATGGATGGGTTCAATAATATTTCTGTCCAAACCTGGAAAGACTTACATGAACTGATGCAAAGTGAATGAGCAGAACCAGGATATCACTGTACACAGCAACAGCAACACTGTACAATGATCAACTGGGAATGACTTAGCTCTTCTCAGCAATACAACGATCCAAAACAATTTCAAAGGACTCATGATGAAAAATGCTATCCATCACCAGAGAAAGAACTGATAGAGTCTGAATGCAGACTGAAGCATAGTATTTCTCAATATCTGTATTTTTTTTTGTGTTTTTTTTTCCTTTGGGTCTCTGTCTTTTTTTCACAACATGACTAATATGGTAATATGTTTTACATGATGGAACATGTATAACCTATAACAAACCTACTGTCTCAGGGAGGGGAGAGGTGAAGGAGGGAGAAAGAAAACTTGAAACTCAAACATTTTTTCAAATGATTATTTAAAATTGTCTTTACATGTAACTGAGGAAAAAATAAAATATTATTTTAAAATATTTCTGTCCTTCAGTGATTCATAACTTCATTATTGTAGGTACTTTCTCTACCAATGCAGACAGCACTCCTTTGTGATTTATATCAAGAGCTGGTATGGCTGGAAAATTCATTATCTTGTGGCCAGAATTGAGCTAGGCTGGTCCTCAGACATACACACCATCACTAGAGCTTGCCTTCCACTAGAAAAATCTTCATATACCCAGGTGTGGCCCCTTCATTACAATGCGACATCAGGGTAGGAGTGTTACCTAATATTAGTAATAAAATGGCTAATTCCTTTAAGAAAGAAGCCAGCAGACTGAAAACTGTCCCAGGGTTATTCTCTTTTTGTTTCTGGAAGTGTTGGCAGTGAAGACAATGATCAAAACTGTAGCTCTGACAGGAGGCTGGAAGGCCTGCTTACAATGATTGTTCTCCTCTCCCCTGTTTTATCCTAATTTTCACATGGAACACAAACAACGACCTAGAAGACAACCTCATCTTTCAAGAAGCGGATGTTTATCAGACTGAGTCACCCTCTGTTACCAATGGCCAGTGACATTTTACCCCAGATACCCACAGTTCAAGTGAGATAGGCATTTATGAATCAGTGAATACAGGCTTTACATCATTGAACTGGAAGAAGCTGGTTCCCTCGGGACCAACTCATCCCTCAGAAACAGTTTGTGAATCAGCCTGGAGCTTTTGTCTTCCATAATTAAAAATGGACGGAAACCAGAAATCAGGGAAAGAAACAAATCCCCGCCATCTTTGGCAAGGGTGTTTACCTGTCTCTCCGGGTCATCACAATCATCATCAGTCTGTTTTTTTTGTTTTGTCAGGGCGCCAGGGCAGCCAGTGCCTTTGTTCACGGGAATGCTCAACACTGAGCCAGATCTGCCATTTGGGAAGGGTTTTATTCTTTATTTCTTGGTCGTCTTCCTCTGGTTCATCTTCATCCTCATCTAGCCAGAAATAAAACACACAGAATTACCAATCACAAGTAAATATCAACAAAAAGCCCAATATTAACCTGTGGTGTGTATATATTATATACATATATATCAACATGGGGTATTCATTATATACAAACATATCGCATGTGGTATATGTATGTGTGGGTATGTATACACACACAAACACACACACGTGTATATTTTCTCATTTTCATATCTTATGGAGAACAAGAAGATCCAGTGTTTGCAATTAGATAATCTGTAACATAGTCAGAACTACAGTGATAAAGACCCTAGAATATAACTTCAACTTTTAGTACTGACTTGGATTTTTTAAAAGCAATTGGAATTCCTGGCCAAGGGCGATACCAACTGTGACCTTAAAAATGACATTGAGTTATACTTACTGAAACTTGCTGAAAATCAGGCAGCTAATTCAAAACATACTAAAATTCACTTTACTTTGTTTCCCAAATTATAATATAGGGAATGAAATTCTACAAATAAAACATTCCTTTGAACCAGCCTATAGGAGTCAGGCCAGAGGTAAATGGACCTGAGACCTAGTTTCTTAATTGAGACATGAATTTATTATTAACTAAAGAATTTAAATAAGTGACATGAGGTTCAAAAAATCCGCTCTCAATAGAAGAACAAAGGCAAGGAGTTTATTTAAAGGCAACACTGATGTTTTTAATCAGCCAAACCAGACTGAAAAACTGTCAAGATCCAAAAGAAAAAGATAGGAGACAGAGAAAGAGGGCAAAGAAAAAAATGATGCCAGAGTATGTGACAAAAACTTGTCTAGTCAATCTCATCCCCTCCTCAGGGGCGGCAACAGTGCTTGGAAAAAATTACTACTTTTTAGTTTCCCAGAAACAAAAGCATTTTCAAGGTAAAACTTTTCTTCAGATACTGCTGAATTTCCAAACCAAAACTGTTAGGTGTTACAAACTGAGCAAAGGGGGCCAACTAAAGCTTAGACAGAAGCTTCTCATCAATGATGGCAGTAAGAAGCATTTACTGTAGGTGGTGTGACTGGTAGCATGCTTCTTTCTCTGATTCAGTCTAAAACCAGTATTTCTGCAAGTGCAGGAATCTTTCTGAAAAGACGAACTTTGTGTGTGACTATCTGTGACCAAATACACCTGGGTAGTTTTCACAAGAAATGTAGTCAACCTGGTAATTCTGAAAAACATTCTCTAGCTACTACTGTGAAGATGTACGTTTTACGTTTTTTTCTACCTTAGAACTGTTCGACAGATTCAAAAGAAGCTAGCTACTTAAAAAAACCAAGACTACAAGATGCTGAATAATCTTGATTCATTCATTCAGATGCGTAGATAACTAGAAGTACCCTCTCTCATTTGTTCATTCCATGTAGCATTAGATGAATTAGGTTTTTATACTTTGCATTTAAATATAAATTAGCAAATTCTAGTTTTGTTGATATGAATTACTATGTGTCTAAGTGATATGCTAGTGAGCATATCCCTGACAGCGGAAGAACTTGGTTTTTCTTCCTTCCTTCCTCCTTTTTTTTTTCCAAATTCTCAAAGAATGCCTAAATCACTGTGCAGTACATTATCGCAAAGAGATACCACTAATCACAAAGGCAAAGTTCAATGAAGAACTATGTGGCCTCTTTAGGACAACTCCTTCTCCAAGGCAGAAACATCACCTTTATCTCTGAATTTATTAGTGCTTTCCAATGGAAATAAGAATGATACAGTGGACCAGGGTTCAAATTCTGACCTTGCCACTTATTAGCTGTGTGATCTTAGGCAAGTTTCTTAAACTGTCATGGCCTCAGTTTTCTCATCTGTAAAATAAAGTTTGCATTAAATGTCCTCTAAGATCCCTTTGCAGATCTATTTTACCTACTGTTCTATGAGCTTTCCTCATTTCTTATCAAAAGCCTGTATACAGTATGGCTGGCCATCTTTTAAGTAACTACTACATTATCATTTAAGCGAGGTCAGTATTTTAATGGGTAAAGCAATAATAATAGCTCAAATTTATATCATGTTTCACAACTTCAAAAGCACTTTCTTCACTTCACTTATGAGATAGGCTGTACAACTATTATTTTCAACACTTTACAGATTAGGAAAGTGAGTCAATGAAAGTAAGTGACTTGTACAAGGTCACCCAGCTGATAGTGGCAGAAGAGTCACTTTTCTTCAAACAGGGAAGATCCATGTCTTCTAACGCTAATAACGTTTTTTCACTCCATCATGCTAACTATCCCAAAATACGCCAGAGTGTAAATACTCCTGGGGTTGTCTAGAATGAATGTTACATAAATACTAGTTAGTAATTATTTTTATAATAATATAATATAATATAATAATATAATTATAGTAATAATTTTTATAATAAAAAAGGCAAATATTTTTAAATAATCTGTCAGCCTGTGAGCTGCAATGGGAACAAAAAAGACTGACTTAACTGGACACTAAAAATAGAAGGAAAAAAAATTAGGAATAAGATTATAACTTTTGCAGGAGCAACCTATAAAAAAGAAAAATTAAAGTAACTTCAATTGGAAAGAACTTGAAACCCTCAAGTGTGTAACTTACTGGAAGAAAGTACAGTTGATGACTTTATAGCTTCTAACTTATGAAGGAATGAAAAAAAACAGAGACACATTCCATTATGACAAACAGCTTTAATGAGGTTTTGACATTCAGATATTTGTGGAGTGTTCCCGTCTACCAATAAACAAAAGCCTATATAGGCAAACAGAGAATAATCCAAAAATTCCAAGGTTGAAAAACACATAAGACCATTTAAATAGCTTACCAGGCTTAACAACGACCCAGCCACCCCTTTCTTGCTGGTGCATCCAGGCTCGCCAGCCTCTTGCTCCCTTTTCTCCGACCCGAGGTTCTCCACTATCCCAAAAGGGCTCAAAGAATTCCACCTGTTAGGATGCAGAAAAACGACTAAAATATAGAAATGAGTAGTCACTGTGTGAAGTTCATGTGGAAAGATAGAGCTGCTGGCTAGGATCTACAAACCCTGGGCCAGGATGAACTTCCTATTTTGAAATGAGAATAAAAATATTCATCGCCTGGAGGAGATTTATCACATGGAACGTAATAGCAGCATCATTGGACTTAAAATTAGAAAACCATAGAAAAATAATTTAAATTCAAGGAGCCTAAGGAGGAAAATGACAATGATGATGGTAACACTGCTGATGGTACCACCTAGTTCAAAAGGGTTGTTGCAAAGAAAGCGCTTGGAGAATTATTAGTGTGGTCAAAAAAGCATTAGACTTGGTATTAGGAAACACGCAGTCGAATCCTGGCTCTAACATTTACTAGTTATATGACTGCACAAATCACTCTATCTCTCTAGGCTTCAGTTTTGCTGTATGAAAAATAGGGATAACACACCATTTATACCTCACAGGACGGTTTTGGGAAAGTACTTTGTAAGCCGTAAAGCACTACAGCAATGTGAATTATCTTTATGCATGTAAAAAGAAAAAAGATTTCTAAAAGCCTGGCTCTGTATCTTATGAAGTCTTGGTACTGGAAGCACAGATGACCCAAAAGAGATACATGACGGATGTAAATGAGCTATAGGATATTAGCGACAATTAATGTGTGGCATAAAAGATACCATTTAGGAAATACATGATCAGACAATGAGGTGAACTGGTCATGCAGCAAGGACAAACGATGACTGAAAGAGAGCCTGAGTGCTATCTCGCTACCCATTCAATGTTGTTGTTTTGTTGTTATTGTTTTTAAAAGACCCAGATGAAGAAGTCATCCATTGTGGTAGGTTGATACATCTTTGATAGAGAAGCTATTACAGGGAATGAACAAAACCCAGGATGAGCAGGCATGGATGGGCTAGTGATCTGTATTACTAGAGTAACCACACTGATGAGACTGAACATCTACTGAAATATTAATAATCAATACAATAACAACATTAATATGATTCATGCTCTTTAATTAATAATAATAAAGATATGATATGAATAAGCAGGCTGTGAGCTGTGTACAACATAGGAATTGAGAGAAAAGATCACACAACATGAATCTTGAAAAATGCTGTAAATTTTCAAAACAGCATAGTCACATTATGGGCAGGCCAAGATAAATGGGTCAATGCTAGTACTGTACTCTGAAATGGATTCCACCTCTGCTAAGAAAGGAGCTGTGAGGATTATCTGCCCCTGAAATTAGATTTCAGTACTATACTCTGTATCCTTACAATAATAGAGGAAGGTGCTGTCAATAGGAGAAAGAAAAAGCAAAATAAATACAAAAAATAACGTGGTTAAATTCCTCCAGTAACATGTCATCAGACTCCTCATTGAACAAAGACTGTATGCCGAAAGCTGCAATGCCTAAGCTAATTTTTGTAAGTGGCCTAAAACCAGTATGATTCTTGGCATCCTCTGCACTCTTTTCCTCCATTTGGCTACCACTGCTACAGAAGCAGAAGAGGGTCACAGAGGACTAAGGGCCATTTTGTATTTTTGTCCATTTCACGGGTTACTATGGCTCCCAAAATGTATTCCCTGACAGCCAACCTTCTGGTAACGAGGCCTTTCATACTTAGTTAACCTTATTCTCAGACAACAGGCTCAAAGTCTCCTACTAGGTCTCTAGTCAAAGCCTTTCCAATCTGGAGGAACCTAACAGAGTTTGAATTTCATGGGTATATCTTTTGGGAACTCTAGGTCACCATGACACCATGAAGAGGCATCTGAGTAGGATTTTTGCTGAGGTTACCCCATGCTGGATTTAATTTTTATTTTAAATTAATTAATTAAATATTAATTTAATATTAAAGGCATTCAGGGATTGCTTTTCAATACTCTCAAAGAAAAAGACTGCAAAAGAATGTAAAAGATCATGAACAGTGCTTTTATTTAAAAAAAGAAAAAATATCAGAACTATTGACCTATATGTCTGCTGTCTCATTTCTATAAAATCTTCTTGACAGTGCCCTTAGTACACACAGAATAGCACTGAAGAATACATGGGAAGAGGCAGACTTTCACAATTCTGTGCAGCAGACCTCATCTTTGCGGTCCCATAACTAACAGGGACCCTCAGATGAGCTGTGAGCTCAGTGATCTGGAGGTTTCTTCCAGTAGTAGTTAGCATTTCTACAGTACTTTAAAGTTGGTAAAGTGCTTTACTTATGTTCTCTCATTTAATCCTCACAACAACCCTGTGAAGTAGGTGTTATTATTATCCCCATTTTCCACATGAGGAAACCAAGGAAGAGAGAAGTTCGCTGACTTTTCAGGATTCAAATTCAGGTCTTCTGGACTCTAAGTCCAGCGTTCTGTTTACGCCACCACCTAGCTACCCATCCATCCCTACCAATCCTGTGTGACTCTAGCCTTCAATGACCCCACTGCGAGCAATTCACTCAACACGGTGGACGCCTCCTTTGCTTTCTCCTGACACTACAAAAGTACCAGTGGAACAATCTGGCTGTCCACCTGTCATCCCTTGTCCTTGCCATGACCAGCCCTGATTCCTCGATGCTCTTCTCTGAAGTTCCTCACTAGGTATTTGCGGCTGCCTGATCACACTCGTCATTCCCCTCTCTACTGCACTCCATATGATACTGATGTTTACCCCTTCAGAGACTTGTATATCATGGATTACCTCCTTACACAAACACTGGTAGAATGCTGGTATTAAAAGGATGGGCCTTTGCTTAAGTGTAGGATCATTAAAGGAGCTTTATAATGTACTGATGGCAATACAGTCACTCTCCTAGTCCTGTTTAACTCTGGACTCCCTGTCCCTCTATACTGTCTGAGTCAGATCTACATACTGGACAAGTTCTGTGGGCTGTCCATCCAAATTCAAGTTCTTATCATTCTTTATGTACATGGTCTTTCCCAAGTGAATGGTCAGGCCAAACTCCATTTGAGTAGCTACAGATCTCTTCCAGAAGACTCTATAGTGTTTGAAGACTGATGCAATCAAGCACAATGTCATCTGCAAACAACAGTATATGGAGGACCTCACCATCCACAAGGAATTTCTCAACTTCTGATCTACGCTACATCTCCTCTATCACACTTCAGCAAGCATCTATTTCCCTATCTCATCCCTGGTGCCTGGTGTCTATAATCAGAGGGTGCTTGAACAGTTTATTTCTTTCTACATCTCTCAAGGACTCTTAAAGGACTATGACACGTGATGGGAAATTACTTAAGTTAAGTACTCTGCTCTACCAAATTGTTTTTTTTTCCAAAAATCAACAAACAAGTTCAATGGAATCATATAATCTCTCTTTCCATCAATTATGAAATGGTGAAACTATGGTCCACTATTAACTATAAGTTGTAAAAGTCTGCTTGTTAACTTGTCAAGAATGTCCACACAAGTAAGTGACTCACATAAACATTTTGTATACACAGGAGAGAATGCATATAGATTATTGGTTACTTGTCATCATTGTTTGACGCATATAAGGTTTGAGATTTTTTTCTACACCTTTGGTATCTTTCTCCTCTTTCAGATACTTTTTTTTCCTTTTTTTAAAAATGCTGATCCCTCCCCTAACCCCACGACTGCATCTTCTCCAGTTTGGATCTCTATTATATGCACTTGGTTCAACCCAACTGCCTTACTGTTTTTTAGTGCCTTTTTTATCCTGTCTATAAACACATCTAGGACTGTGATGGTCTAAATATGACAACTCCACTGTTCTTACTGAAGAAAAGCTTGTTTTAATGATTTTTACAAATCTTTTCCATTTTTAATCTATTTGTTGTCCTCCTTCCATTGTCATGCTTAAATGCCCTTGGGATTATTTTGCTTGATCCTAAATCTTCCAAACTTTCAATTATTTTAACCTCTAGTACATCTCTCTGCTTTATGAGATAATACTACTCACAAGTGGCAATCAACCTGCTTCATAAAATTTTACAAACAAGTTTATATTCCAACCTGCTATTGCCTTGGCTAGCCATGTCACTCCAAGCAAGTAAGTCAGACGTTTGCTAACTAAAGTGCTTTCTGGACTCTTCTTTTTTTGTAAACATCTTATCCATTATCAATTTCCCAACCAATGAACAGGTATTCCTAAAATACTGATAAATACAGAGAACAAAAAATTCTTGTGTCTATTGTGATTTAAAAAAAAAGCAGCCTTGAGCACTCTTCTTAGACAAAGAAATTTCCCAAGTATATGAAGGTGACCCAGATCTATATATCCAGCCAGTGTCTCTACCCTGAGCTTCAGTACAACATCACCAATTATTTATGGAATATTTCAAACTAGATATGTCCCAAAGATATCTTCAATTCAACATAACTAAAGCTGAACTCATTATCTTTCCCCCTAAATCCTCCCCTCTTCCATATTTTCCTATTTCTGTCAAAATCACTACTGCCTTTCCAGTGTCTCAGGTTTGTAATCTCAGGAATATCTTGAATGCCTCACTCTCTCATTCCACATATCTAATCAGACATCTCTCCTATTTGACTCCTCTTTACTTACAAAGCCATTCAGCTACTACCTCATTACCTCTTGCCTAGATTACTGCCACAGCCTAATTGTGTTCCTACCTCAAGTCTCTCACCAATCCTGACCATTCTCTCCACTGGTGCCAAAGTAATTTTCCTTAAGCACAGATGTGACAATATGACTCCCCTCTTCAGCCTACTCCAGTGGCTTCTTATTGCCTCTAGGATACAATATAAACCCCTCCTGGGCTTCAAACTGGCTTCTGTATGGTAAGGACTTAATTTGTTCCACTTCTCCATCTATTTTTCTCCTCATTCAACCACTTCTCTTCTTATCCTACATGCACTAATTTTGTCTGTGCAGAAGCTCTTTCGTTTAATCAAAGTTATCTACTTTATCTTTTGCAATTACTTGGAACCCTTGCTTGGTTAACTTTAAAAAAAAAACTTTAAAAATAGAGAGGTTGAGGGGGAGTTACAGATGTGTGATATATGGCATAATCTAGAAATGTTCATCATGTAGAAACAAAACACATCAATAAAGCTTTTTAAAAAGGCTGTCAGTACACATGTATAACCTTTATCAAAGTGCTTGCCATCTCAAGGAGGGTAGGTGGGGAGGGAGAAAGGGAAAGTTTTAAAAACAAATGTTAAAAAAAACTGTTTTCACATGCAACTGGGAAATAAGATATAAGTCTATCCTGCCCTACAGGAAAATTGAAGGGGAAGGGGATAAAAGAAGGGGGGAGGGGGCAGCTAGGTGGTGCAGTGGATAGAGCACCGGCCCTGAAGTCAGGAGGGCCTGAGTTCAAACCCAGCCTCAGATCAAACACTTGACACTTACTAGCTGCGTGACCCTGGGCAAGTCACTTAACCCCAACTGCCTAAAAATCAAAAAATAAATTAAAAAAAAGATAGAAAAGGAGAAGGGGTATTCAGAATGCATGCCATTTTAGGGTAGGGGAGGGATAAGATGGGGAGAAAATTTGGAACTGTGGAAGTGAATGTTGAAAACTAAAAATAAATAATTTTTTTTTTAAAAAGGCTGTCAGGCATTTTCATAGCAGAACAAGGAATGGTTATGCTAAAAGTTCGGAAGGGATAGTAATGTAATGTTAATAAATGACGGAAAGCAGACTATCCAATTTTTCTTTTTTTTTTAGTGGTTCCTTTATCAAGAGAAAGATCTTAAATTGGAAAAGTGCAGAAGAAACAGTTAAGAGGAAATCTGAACCTAAGACAAATGTGTAGACTGCAAGCTGCTTTAAGAGAATTTAAATTTCCAAGCTCTGAAAAAAATTATATCCCGTGGAACTTAAATATCATGGAACCTCTGTCAATCACTTTTGAAAAACCATGGGGAACAGAATATATGATAAAAGACTCGTAGAGATGGGAAATTCTCGCCCAATTTCCAAATAGGTGAAAAAAGTAAATTCCTGAAACAATATACAAGTGAACTTGACAATGATTACTGGTAATATCTTAAAATATACTCACAATGGTTTATAAATATCTAGGAAGAAAAGTAGTGATCACAAGGAACTAACACAGGTTCATCAGGAATGAGCCTAACCTTACTCCATTTTCCACATGGGATTACTAGACTGATAGCCAATGTTTAGATATAGCATATGATTTTGACAAAGGATTTCTCTGAAAGACTCTCTTGATATTCTTGTGGGTGAAATGGAGAAATGTGGACTGGTTTAGGCAAAGACACAGCTAAGTGAAATACTATACTACTGGGGACAGCTAGATGGCGCAGTGGATAGAGCACCGGCCCTGGATTCAGGAAGACCTGAGTTCAAATTTGACCTTCGACCCTTGACACTTACTAAATGTGTGACCCTGGGCAAGTCACTTCACCCCACTGCCTTGCAAAAAAAGAAAAGAAAAGAAAAAAAGAAATACTATACTACTAGGGTGTTAAGAAACTGATACCAACCTGTAAGGAGAACTTTGGAACAATGAAAGAGTGGTTTTTCCAAGGCCCTATCTTGCTTAATATTTTTATCAATGCATTGGGTAAATACACAAAGTATCTCATAGCAAAAAGAGATGATTTGGAAAATGGGTTGAGAGCATGCCCAGGTCAAAGGAAAAAACGCTGTAAAAAGCCAGAAAGGAAGAACTCAAGCACCAAAGAGCCAGTCAGGATCACACGCAAGCCAACACCATAAAATAGCAGACAGCAGAGAAAATAATAGTCCAGAAGGCAAAAGATCTAGGCTGACAACTAACAATAACTTACCAAGGAAAAATGAATATAACTTTATGGGGGGAAAAACAGACCTTCAATCAAATAGAGGACTTCAAGCATTCCTGATAAAAAGACCAGAGCTGTGTAGAAACTTTAAAGTGCAACACAGGAGTGAAGAGAACCACAAAAAGGTAAACAAACAAACAAGCACAAAGATAAACTGCTTACATTCTCATAAAAGATGATGATATATTTGTCTACTCTGAATCCTATTAACATCATCATCAGGGTCACAGAGGGCAACTACTTAGAGGATCTGGAAGTGGTTCTGTTATGTCTTGATGACCTTAAAAGAAAAGAAAGGGAGAGAGAAGAGGACTACACTGGGGGATCAGGGAAAGAAAGGAGAATGTTAGGGAAAACTATGTCACATAATCAGGGTATGCAAGTAAAAGTCTATACAAATAAGAAGAAAGACGTTGGGGTGAATGGGACCACAGCTGAACTTCATTCTCATCTGTCCTGGTCAGAAGGAAGAATACACACACAGGTGGATAAAGAAATATATTTCACTAAATAGGGAAAGAGAAGGAAAAGGGGAGAAGGAAGAGGGAGGAATAAGAGGGAAGACAGATTAAAGCAGGGATTAATCCTAAGCAAAACAAACTCTAAGGCTGTACAAAAATGTCTATAGCTGTTCTTTTTGTGGTAGCAAAGAATGAGATACTAAGGAGATTCCCATCAATTGCGGAATGCCTGAACAAGTCATTATATATAAATGTGATGGAATACTTTGGTGTTGTGAGAAGTTACAAAGGGGATAGTTTTAGAGAAACCTGGAAAGACTTGTACGAAATGATGCAGAATGAAGTGAGTAGAACCAGGAAACCAATTTATATAATGACAACACAAAGGTAAATGACAACAAAGATAAACAACTCTGAAAGACTTAGGAACTGTGATAAGTATAATGAAAAAACAATTCCAAAGGAATCAAGAGAGAGGGAAAGGACTTAGTGTGCAGAATGAGACATTTCTTTTGGGTCTGGCCAGTGATGAAATGTGTTCTGCCTGACTATATGTGTTGCAGCAGGGGGTTTGTGTTTCTTACTTTCTCAACTGAGAGGGTGAGTGATAGGAAGGAAAGAAGGAAGATTCTTGATGATTAAAAGAAATTAATTTAAAAAATAAATAGTCCCACTACATTCTGCACTACTCAGACTACATCTAGAGAATCCAATTCAATTCTAGGTATCATATTGTAGGAGGGATGCTAAGAAACCAGAGGAAATGCTGAAAGGGTGACCAGATGATTGCTCTTAAAACCACACCATGCAAAAAATGGTAGAAACATCTAGGAATGTTTCACCAAGAGTAAAATTTGGGAGGAAAGATAATTATCATCTGGTCATCATCTAGAAAAGTGACAATAGATTCTTTCTATATAGCCATAATGGCCAAAACTCTAACAAATTCGTGGTATTATATTGAGGATGACTGTATATGATGAGAGCTTGGACCGGATAACTAAAGACTTAATGTTCCTTCTAATAGTAAGAACCTATGAAATTCTTTCTTGACTCTAGGAAAATGTTTATTTTTACAAACAAATTTGTATGTTTTCTTTGGTCAAAATAATGGAAATTAGGTAACAAAGGGCTTCTCTTTTTGCCTTAGTCACCAAGAAACTCAAAGCTAATCTATCCAACTGTAGTAATTGGCTTCTCTCAGCTCTCCTGCAACATCTCTCTGCTATGCTTTACTGGTCTTTGTTCTGTTTTTTATCGAGAATTGTCTTATTTTTGAAGTAAGATTAACTTGAAACATGCCTAAAATCCTTCTAGAATCAGGTAGAGTATAAATACTAAAAATATTTTTAAAAGTAAAAGAAGTAAAAGTTGATTTCTTTAATTACCAATAGATGTGAGCAAAACACTCCTTATGAAAGGAACTCAAAATGACACCCAATGTTCTTTCTTAGAAAATCAACTCACCCAAGGCTGCTATTCATTGGTGATCTAAAACAGCATTAAGCAACTCCATGTGCAAAAGACTAAAACCCAGTAAGTAGAATACTTTCAAAAAACAAACTTCTGACATTTAACTTCATCTGTGACTCTAGCTAAGAATAAATTTAAAGAGTGAGATTTCTGGTGGCTGAAAGGTTAATTGGACAGTTAACATTAAGAGTGTGAAAGAGTTAAACATGGTTGAAGAACTAGGCAATGATCAAATTCCAATGTTGCTCCATAGATACTATGCATTTTGTTTGTCTACAGTAAGTTAAGTCAGTCTGTAGGGCAGAATGTACTATATGAGAAGGAAGGTCACAAAACTAACTAAAATGGGGACTCCTCTCTTTTAGTTTTCCTTTCGCTGCTGCTACAGAGATACAGAACAAACCTAAAATATATTTCCCCAACATACTTTGACTACATTTGATTTTTATGTCATATTTCTTTCAAAATCCTTCAAACTCGTCTTTCATACATATCTAAGTATCTGACTTCTGAAATCACATAACAAGCTCTTAATTACAAAATATCAAAGACACAAAGTAAAGGTAATCTAAAACACGTATAGCTAGAGTAAATTAGCCAAGATCATACAGCCAGTTTGTGGCAGAATTTGGACTTTAACACCGTGTAAATCTGAATTTTAACTATTTTAGTCCAAGTTATGCTCCATTCCTCAACACTACCTCCTCTTACTGTAATGTCCTATTCTCTAGTTATAAACTTACCTCATCTGTGTGCCTGTAGCAGTATTATATCACTCACACACACACACGCACGCACACAGCTAGAACTATTGCTACCTTGCTCATTATTGTCTCACATGTGAAACAGAAGCCTCATTCAAAAGCAAAAAAATAGGCATTCCATAAATGGTTCTTGACTACTGGCTAATAAATAAGAGATAGCTTAATTTTATTCACAAGAAAAACCCAGTTTAACCAGCACAGTCCACAAAAAACTACTTACTGAAAACGACTTTTTCTATCTGACCACTATTTTACTAGTCACCTCTGGTTTCTTTTCCTAACTCTCAAGTTCCAGTGTGTTCAAGATGGCCCTCTAAAGCAAAATACTAGAAATAAGAAAGTAAAAATTACTGACCTGTCCCTTGGTAGGAAGATCTTTCACACTGTCAGGTTTGAAGAAGGTAAAGTCAATCATGGCCTGGAACAAAGAAATTGCTTTTTCAGTGTGGCCAGCTTGTCTAAGAAAATGACACTGCTGAAGAAAGAGTGCTATAGGGAAGAGAAAAGAAAATTACTTTTTAACATCATTAAAAAGAAGGAGCTCATTTCCCAAAAGAGAAGAATTTCATTGTGCTGAAGACAGAAGAGTAAAAAAGTCTCTTATTATTTTTCTGAAATAAAAAAGCTTTAAATTTTTTAAAGCTTTCAACTGTTATCTAATATTCTAGTATACCTACATAACCAAATAACAAAATGTATTCACTCATATTTTCATAACTAATCTACTGGTGGGTTAAAAAATATCAGAACTAAAAATAGCACCGCATATTAAATGAGTTGAAAAATTAGCCTGGTTATTAACTATTATAAAGTCATGTTTCATTTGTACTTGAAAAGCTATACAAATGCTATCTTTTAAAGTACATTGAGTTTTTACCAAAAAGTAAAGAGACCTATATCCACTTTAGCACTAGATGGCATTATTCACCAGCAGATTTTATTATATGCTCATGGCCTATAATAAACAAATCAAGATCTTATGGTGGAACCTTTGAATTTGTTTCACTTGAGTAACAACTACTTATCTAAGAACATTCAATCATCCATGAGTAGAGGAATAGTAACAATTTGATCATTTAAAAAGAACAGTAAATCTATCCTCGAATCAGAAGCTCTTAAAATAATTTCTCTTAAAAAAAATAGTGATCTAGGCATGACAGGCTGCTTTCAAAAGATTTTTTTTTAGTAGATTCCCTCTAAAAAGGATCTAAAATACCAGCTTTTCTAATACCTGATAGAAATGTCTTATCCATTCATCTAATACATCCATTCACCAGAAATAGCACATGTTCCTTATCACATTTTAAATACTTTGTACAGATTCTTATGACTCAAAGAAGAGTAGTGGATTAGTGTCTGTCAATTTGATGATTTGGCTTCAAACTGACTCATTAAATGTCTACTCTTTTATCCATCAAATAGCAGCACCCTACGAAGTAGGAAAAAAACCCTAGAAAACTAAGAAAAAATATCACATACTAAACTTTTCATTATACTGCTACTAAGTGTTAATTCAAAAGCAATTTATTTTACAAGATGGAAGAATTTATCTTTAGAAAACCTTGCCTCTATCTGCTCTACGTATTAATATTCTGGGCTCGTCTTTGAAATATCAGCAATTCACCCAATTTATATTACAAGTTCTTCTGCAAAATAGAAGCATCTGTTACATCCATATGGGGGAAGCAATGCTCGCTTTATCAACTCAAGAAGCAAGATTCCAGACATTTTCAGTACAAAAATGTCCTTGATTACAACCATCTTTCTATATTTCATTTCACAGTGATCTTCTTACCTAACATAGCTTCCTCAGTTCCAGGCAATGCAGGATGAGATAAGATGCTCCCATCCTGTACTGCTGCCAGAGTGCTGAGGCATTTTCCATACAGATTGTGAATTTTGGATACTGTAAAGGTGCTAAATTGGCTCTGGCAAAATAAGAGGTATTTCTGCCACAAGGCTGTATTATTGGGGTGTAAAAAAATCAGTTTCTGCCACTCTTTGATCAAAGTAGATGGTTCCCAGAATTCTGTACAGAGTTTCAGCCTGGCAAGCTTCAGTTCCACACTGTTCTGGTTGCTTTCAATGGCACGCTCTAAAATGGACAATTTCTTTTCCAGAATTAGCTTCAGTGATTTTCTTCTAGACTCTTGCTCTCCCTCATTGATAGTGTATAGGCTGGGTCCTTTCATCATTTCATCCTCAAAACAAAAGGAAAACTGAGTTACAATTATACATGACATAGAGTTATTCTCAGGCATCTAAATGTTTTACAGTACACATACCATCTCAAACTGGCTCTTCCTAGAAGGACTAAAAAGGACAGTTATCCCTTTGATAACAATAAAAATTAACAATTTCATTTTTAAGAAAAATGAAGTTTGAGAGATTCTTATCTAGCTATAACATTAATCAGGTTTGGTCTGTAAACTTCTTTTTTTAGTTTATGCCTCATCATTTAAAAATACTGAATTTATATCCCAATTACATCATAAAAGAACTGTTAACAATTGCACCAAATGGTATTCATCTAATTGATTGACAAAAGGCATTCATTTCTGGGAAAGTAAAAACTACTTAAGTGACTCAAAATGAATGGCCAAAAAAACCCTAGTGCCCACATATTTTAGTTAACAACCAGACCAACTATTTTATTTGTCCATACTTAGGGATTCTATCCCCAAATGAGAGAACCTAAACTCAGCATTGGATAATAACACTTACCTGAAAAGACACAAATTCCAGCCACAGTTGAATATCCCTGGGATTCTCTCGGACTTTTCTGTTAAATTCCTCTACTTTAGCTTTTAGAATAGCATCTTCACTATCCTTTTGAGACACAGGCTGCTTTGTCTCTTGGTCTGAAGGACCCTGTCCTTGTAACCACAATGTTGTAGATTTATCATAAACTCCCAAAGGATTCACCCAAGTCGAGGTAGAAGGTAGAACTTCATCATCAGAGTCTTTCACTGGTATGAATGGGCTGGGATCAGGCAAGAATAGTTCAACTTTGCTACAAACAGCCACTCCATCAGTGCTAACTGAACGTATGCTTTTCTTAGAAAAATAGCGTTCAAATTTCTTATGTAATTGTTTCTTTTCTGTGGGGGTACCTTCCCAAGATATACGTTGCTTTTTGGGGTTAATGCCAAGGCACGAGTTTCCCTTCCTCTTGTATCTTAAAAAAAAAAAGTTAGTAAATGGATATGTATACATTTGATTATCACTAATAACCAGATCTCAAAAAGGCTTCTGAGGTCCCCCACTAGACAATAAACATCAATAGAATGAGGGGTGTTTAATATTTCTCTTTCTATTCCTCCATAGCACTTAGCACAATATTTTGAATATAACAGCTATTAAATAAAGTACAACCTTCTAATTCAACAGGTAGAGGAAGTTAAGGCCCAGTGAAGACACCTGTCCAGGTCACAGACAGACTCTGAGGCAGAACCAGGACCAAAAGCCAAGTCTTCTCTCTTGCATTCCTGTACTCTTTCCACCACACTTTCCACACACTGACTAATTTCTTTAAGGCATAATTTCCTTCCCAAGCAATCCCAGTTAAACCAGAATTCACTAGTGGCAATCTGGTAAAGCCTACAGACACCCTTTTCAGAATGTTTTTAAATGCATAAAATACAATACACAGGATTATTATGGAAACCAATTATATTGAAATATATCTATGTGTGGATATATGTACGTGCATATATATATGCATACATATATGTGTATACACATATACACACACACATTAGGTATGCTCCTAGACCCTGGAGAGGACTGATTTAACATCTAAGTTCCTCTTTGAAGATTCAATTAAAAAATCTGAGTACTGAGCACTTGTTTTTCTTTACAGTCAGACACCTACCTATTCCACTTCAACAGCTGGTTAATGGAAGATGAAAATAAGACTTAGTCATAATGACACTTTTCTTTCATCAGATTCCATTTTCATAACAGCCTGTGAGATAAGCCAGGCAGGAAGTATTACTCTCATTATTTATAGAAGAATTCGAGGCCTAGAGAAAATACAGACCCTTATCTGAGATCACATAACTAGTAAATGGAAAAACAAGGGATGTCTAGAACCCAAGTCTCTAATACTCTTTCTAATCTAACACAATGCATTCCTACTTAAAAAAATCTAACACCGAAAGAGGTTAAAATACATGGATCAAAATTTCTTTTCAAGTTTCTACTTTAGAATAAAACTAAAATTGATTTTTTTTCAATTTTCAGGTAGTATTGTTCTTTGGAAGCAGACAATATAATGGAAGTCAAACAAGCCATTTCCCAACTGATAAATGGTCAAAGGATATGAACAGGCAGTTCTCAGATGAAGAAATTAAAGCCATCTATAGTCATATGAAAAAATGCTCTAAATCGTTATTGATTAGAGAAATGCAAATCAAAACAACTCTGAGGTACCACATCACACCTATCAGATTGGCCAACATGACAAAACAGGAAAATGATAAATGTTGGAGAAGATGTGGGAAAATTGGAACACTAATACATTGTTGGTGGAGCTGTGAAATGATCCAACCATTTTGGAGAACAATTTGGAACTATGCCCAAAGGGCTACAAAAATGTGCATACCCTTTGATCCAGCAATAGCACTTCTAGGGCTATATCCCAAAGAGATCAAACAAATGGAAAAGGACCCACATGTACAAAAATATTCATAGCAGCTCTTTTTGTGGTGGCAAAGAATTGGAAATTGAGAGGATGCCCATCAATTGGGGAATGGCTGAGCAAGTTGTGGTATATGAATGTAATGGAATACTATTGTGCTATAAGAAATGATGAACAGGCTGACTTCAGAAAAACCTGGAAAGACTTATATGGTCTGATGCTGAGTGAAGTGAGCAGAACCAAGAGGACTTTGTACACAATAACAGCCACGTTATGCAATGACTAAGATTGTTAAACTGAACCCTTCTCAGCATTATGAGGATCTAAGACATTTCCAGAGGCCTCGGGATGGATAATGCTGTTCACATTCAAAGAAAGAACTATGGAAGTCGAATCGCTATCACTTATTTTTACCTTTTGTTGAGTTTTGTTTCATCTTTCTGATGGTTCCTCCTATCGGTTTTAATTTTTACTTTCAACTTCGCTAATGTGAAAATATGTTTAATAGGAATGTAAATGTATAGCCTATATCAGACTGAGCGCTGTCTTGGGGAGGGTGGGGGGAAGGAAAAGGGAGAAAAATTTTCAACTGAAAAGCATATGGAAGTGATTGTTGATAAATCAAAATAAATTAATAAAATTAAAAATATATATATAATGGAAGTCAAAAACTGGGTTTTAATTCTGGCTCTACCATGCAGCTATCTTTGGGCCTCAGTTTCCTCATCTGGCAGTAAAGAGGCAGATGTGTTAAAGCCAGTAATCTCTAATGTTATTTGAGGATCCTCTCCTCTTTTTGTCCTGTTATGAAAAGGAGCCAAAACTCTTCTTTGGTGGATCACAGCATCATTAGATCCAGAACTGGCCTGGGAGGCCAACTAGTCCTTCCCCTCATTTTACAGAAGGGGAAACTGAGGTCCAAAGAGGTTCAGCCCAAGGTCACACTGACAGGCGGTATCAGAGCTTGGCTATACTTGTTTAAATACTCTGAGGGTCGATCATTTCATCTGTTGTAGAGTGACACCCCTCAAACAGCTCGCAATCCCTCCGTGACTCAGCATCCCTTTTTTGTTTGTTTGTTTAGTTCCTGTGGCCACTCATCCATTGCTGACCCTACACTCAAAGTCTTGCCAGTGAGAAGTGACAAGCCAGAAGCTCTGCTAACAGATCACTTTCCACAACTCGGTAACAATGTGGGAGGGTGGGGGAATGCCACAGCTGAGGAATCCAGGGTCCTCAATTCAATCTGTCACTCACTGGGGAGGTGACCATAGCAAGTTACATGACCATTTGTAAAATGAAAACAGAGAAACTGGATGACTTCTAAGAGCCCTTCCCACTTCTCTACCCTCCTTCAGCAGTTACCAATGGGGTCTTGTACTCACTGTGGCCCCTTCCACTACTTCTGTATTTTAATGATCACAACTTCCTTAATTTCCACCACAAGCAAACTGCTTCATATTTTTTATGAAATCATAGCAATAACATATAGCATAGTCTATACGTAACATGTATGATACATTATGTAATATATATTTCTTTTTAACTCCTCTTAGTCTATTACCCCAACCTCTCTAACCTCTAATCTTCTTTTCCAATTCTTGCCACAGACCCCTCAGAAAAAAACTTCATTCCACTTACAAGTAACAAAGACCCTAATAGTGGCTGATAAGCTAAGAGCTGCTGGGTGCAAATCAAACCTGCTTTCTCTCAAACAACAGTATTAAAGATAAACAAAAAATTCATTGGATATTATCAAAGACCTTTTGGTTTAATTATTAATGCAATAGTATTGCATTCTCCTTTTTTTATAATAAATATGTTAATATTCTATTTATCCTCAAGAATCATAAGGAACTTTGGACTGTCATCTATTGTACCTCCTCCCAATGCAAAATAAGTAAATAAATGATTCCTTCTCCATCTCTTGACAGGGGGTCAGCCACAGCCTTAACCTGAACATTTCCACTGACAGGAAAGTATACTGCTTTGTAAGATAGGCCATTTTTAGTATTATTTAGACCCAGAAAATTGGAAAATTCATCCTTACAAACAAAGCTGTTTCCCTATAACTGACACATCTGTCCTAATTCTGTCCCCAATTAATGCATAAAATAAGAGCCTCTTTCCCATGACAAGCCTTCAACAACTAGCTGAAAACTGCTGGTACGTATTCTCTTCTCTAGACTAAACATCAGCTATTTTCTCTCTCTCTCTCTCTCTCTTTTTTTTTTTGGGTGAGGCAATCAGGGTTAAGTGACTTGCCCAGAGTCACACAGCTATTGAGTGTTACATGTCTGAGGACGGAGTTGAACTCAGGTCCTCCTGACTCCAGGGCCGGTTGCTAACATTAGCTATTCTCACACCCCTCTCCCAAGCAACATGGTCTACAGACCCTGCACCATCCTCTATCAAGTGGGGCAAATTTGACAAAAATGAAATTAAAACACAGCACTAAGAACTGGACGTAATATTCCAAACACGGACTGACCAATGCAGAATAGGATTATTATTCCCCTTAATCATACTTCTACTGCTGATTAAGACTGCAGCCACATCATTCTGATGGACCACAACAAACTCGCTGACAAACAAAAATAAAAACCTGCAGAAGTTACTTTTCACTTCAATTGCTTTTAAGTGTTACTTCCATAGTCCTATAGTTACCAAGTTTATTTTTTTTTAACCCATATGCAGTATCTTAAATTTATTTCTATTAAATTTCACTCTGTTAGTTCAGGCCTATCATTCTAATCTTTCTGAATCTTGATTCTATTATCTGAATCATTAGTTATCTCTCCCAACTTCTTGTAACCCATAAATTTGATAAGCACTATTTCTATGTCAACATTTGTAAAAAAAAAAATAATAATGATAAAATTTTTTAAAAAGGACCAAGGATTGGGACTTGTAGCATGCCACTAGGGCCCTTTGTTCAGACTGACAATGATATTAGTGAATGACTAAGCTTCTAATAAAGCACTGGAACCTCTGTAGGTATACAATAAATACTTTTGATTCACTAATTGAGGAAAAAAAGGCCTCAAATACATCATGGAGTAAATGTCATAAAGTCCTATGAATTCTACCCCCTTAATGTCTAAATATGTTCTTTATTATGATTGCTCAATCAGCTACAAATCCATTTGATTGTTTTATCATCTAGCTTACATTTCTCAGAATATAACTAAAGACTGTCAAATGCCTTACTGAAATCCAAATATATTACGTCTATAATATTTCCCTGGTCAACCAACCAGTCTATTAATACTAAAAAAGGAAATGAGATAAATCTGGCATGACTTATTCCTGGCAAAACTACGCTGGAACCTAGTGATCACTTTATTCTTTTCTAGGCACTCACAAACCCTTGGTTTAATAACCTAAAGATTGTCATTAGTCTCACTTACCTTTAGTTTCTGTAACCCACCTTTTATCCTATCTCATTAGACTGGCACACTTGCCCAACTTTAGTACATGGCACCTTTTGCTTCCTACACCTTCTCAGAAATGACCAGCAGTCTTTCTATGATGATGCCCATGTGTTCTTTCAGTACCCTAGGAGATAGCGTATCTTCATCTGGAGATGAACACACCTAAAGGAGATGAGGTGCTCTGGCTACCTTTGTCCCTCTTTGCCATATTCCTCATGCCATTTACAATTTGTTCTCTTTGGTGGTGAGGATGAAACAAAAGGTAAAAGTTGAACAGTTCTGCTTTCTGTGTGTTGTTTGTTAACATTATACCCAGTGTTGGACCCACCACTTCCTTCAAACACAGCCACAAACCAACCCTTCCCGCCCCAACTCCGCAAGCCTCAACTCCTTCTGAGTTTTAGGCTTCCTGACGCTACTGTTCAAGCCTCATGTCACTCATTTGTATTAGTCTAAGGCAAGGGTGGGGAAAACTTGCAGCCTCAAGCCTCTAGGTCCTCAAGTGTAGCCCTCTGATGTAATCCAAACTTCACAGAACAAATAGCCTTAATAAAAGGATTTGTTCCGTAAAACTTGGACTCCATCAAAGGGCCACACTTGAGGACCTAGAAGGCCACATATGGCCTTGAGGCTGCAGGTTCCCCGCTCCTGGTCTACCATTTATGAGTTCCTCTCTCCCTTCCCCTTCCTCATCTTTAATTTCTCATGATCTCTGCTGCCAAAAACATATCCAAGGCTCTCTTCTCATCTTTTAACCTTCACTTGGCTCCACCATCCCCTCAAGCTATATCTATATCTCTCTTTTTCAGCCAAACTCCTAGAAAAACATGTCTATGCTAGCTACTTCTATTTCCTCTCCTCTCATTTACTCCTCAACCGTTTGCAATCTGGCTCACTCAACTAAAACTTCCTTTCCAAGGTCATCAATGATCTTCTGATTGTCAAATCTAATGGACTTTTCTCCACTTTCATCCTCTTTGACTTCCTATAGCATTTGACATTATTAACCCCCTCTCCTTCTGGATAACCTTTGGAGTTTTCACATTCCCTTCTCTTGGCTCTTTTCCTATCTTAATGTTCCTTTTAAGTCCTTTCTGGATCTATAACTTGCCCCCTGATCTTGGATGTAACTGAAAGGTTATTTCTAGGTCCTCTTGTCTACTCTGCTCTCTCCCTTTTGATCTTATCAGCTCCCCTGGTTTAATTATCATGGGTAAGGAGTGGTGTGAGAGAGGTTTGAGGAGAGTAGAGTTTTGGAATAGCTTCTGCTGGGAGGAGAATTACAGACTCAATTAAGGAGGAGTAAAAGAACTGCTTTCCCACCTGCTAGAGCTACAGGAAAGAATATTCTGTGTACTTGAGGTTCGTTTATTCTATGACTCTAAATTTCTTATGGGATGTGGTAGAGATAGGAAAAAGGAGAGGGCAGACAAAACAAGAGTCCTTCACTACTTCTGACCTTGGAATAGCTAGCTATTAGTTGTCCTTCCTGGTTCTCCTATCTCCCAGTACCAATTCACACTCCTCTATGCTGATGATTCAGATCTATATTTCTATCTTTTTTGGAATATCTTTTCCTGAACCCCATCATCAATTGCCTATAGGACACTTGAAACTGCATGTCCTGAATGTATCTCAAACTCAACATGTCTCATCTGAATCTTTCCCTTCAGACTTCTCTCTCTTCTGAACCCTCCTAATTCTGTCAAGGGCCCATTCTTCCAGTTACCTCAGGGTCATTACCATACTCACTTGCCAGAAATATATGGAGTCAATAAATATGTAAGTGTGCTCAATGTCTCTACATTATGCCATGAATCTAGATCTTTATGGGATCTGATACAGAGGGGAAAAAAGGAGAGAGCAGACATCACAGGAATGGGAACGAGAGCTAAAACTACAATACTTTCAATTCTGCAAAAGACTCTTAATTGTTCTAATTCTGATGCCCCCTTGTACCTCCACTCCACTGGCAGATTAATCTTCCTGATGCATACTCTCCAACTCAAAAACCTTCAATGAATTAACCACCAACTAAAGTCCCAACTCCTTCATCTGACATTGAAGGTCCTCCTCAATTTGGTTTCAACTAACTTCCCAGTCCTATTTCACATTACTCTCACATGCTCTATGCCAGGGGTGGGGAACCCGAAGCCTAGAGGCTACATGTGGCCCTCTAGGTCCTCAATTGTGGCCCTCTGACTAAATCCAAACTTCACAGAACAAATTCCCTTAATAAAAGGATTTGTTCTGTAAGACTTGGACTCAGTCAAAAGGCCACACCAAAGGACCTAGAAGGCCACATGTGGCCTCAAGGCCACAGGTTCCCTACCCCTGCTCTATGCTCTAGCTAAACTGGGCTACTCATCATTTCTTCAAACACGCTTTCCCACTCCTGTGATTTTGTTTACAACATTCCTAACATGCTCTCTACCCCACTCTCTCATCCATTTCAACCTACTGAAATCCTACTCATCCTTCAAGGACCAGCTTAAAGGACCATCTACTACTTCCTTCCTTAAACTTTCCCTTGCTCTCTCTACTCAGCCCTGTCCAAAGATGACAGTGATCTCTCCCTCCTCTGTACTATCACAACACTCTGTACCTTTTTTATGCTTTTATCACATTCTTGCTGGGATTACAGTCATTCATGTGCATATCTTAACTCTTGTCAGACTGTAAGCTCCTTGAAAACAAAGACTACATTTTATTTATATGTGTATCCCCCTCAGTGTCTAGAACAATGTCTTATGTAAACAAAGTGCTCATTAAATGGAAAAAATAAATGCTATCACACACGTTTCTGACAACGTAGGGCAAAAACAAGCATTATTTTGACAAGATATTTCAACGTAACACCAGTTATGAAGGAAAGTACAAGAGGCAATTGGGTTAGAATGGAAGAACTCAGGACAACGTATCACAATCAGTGAGTCATTTCTAGAATTTTTAAGGACAGAACATAATGTGTACCTTGCTATATCCCCACGATAAAGAGATTTATACTCCCAGTTTGCTGGATCTGGTTTCTTATCTGTTCTGAAGGTTTCTGTTGTCAGAGCCTGAACGTCGTCAAGCCAAACAAAGCGACTTCCACTGTGGTCAGTGGCGTTATTTTCTTGACTGCTGGACAAAGGAAGGTGGGAGGAGGAGGGGGAGGGGAGAGAGGAACAAGGAAAGGGAAGAGACAAAAACAGCTTTTTGAAAACCCCTCAGCTAAATATTTATTATGTGTAAAAACAAGCAAAGTCAAATATTTGAAATCCCACATAGTATCAAACATACCCAAATGCAAAGTATGTGAACACACGCCATGGAAAGAGACAGTACAGGAATCTCAATTCTATGAAACAGTGGAAAACATGAACAATGGCTGAACTATGCATACTGTGTGTGCCATATCTCAACAATGAACCTTAGTGTCGCTCGCTCGCTCTCTCTCTATGTATATGTATATGTACATACATTTACATGTTCCCAAGTACAGATGCTCCTCATCACTTCACAGCTCAAAAATGTACACAACTCATCAGCGTAGGTATTCCCTCCACTGATACATATTATAGATTCTGCACATCTTAGTTGATAATCTTCATGAGTTTCTGTGGCCAACATATCAACTGGTAGCCAACAGCTCAGTGACAAAGTTTTGAAACTAGTTACTGTCTTCTGACAAAAGACAACACATGCCATCACCAGGTCTATACTTGATATCTTCTTGGCCTAACAAGACTTTCTGGGGTTTAGACGATGAAAGCATAGCTTTTGAGAACACAGGGTGGGGGGCAGCTAGGTGGCGCAGTGGATAGAGCACTGGCCCTGGATTCAGGAGGACCTGAGTTCAAATCCAGTCTCAGACACATAACACTTACTAGCTGTGTGACCCTGGGCAAGTCACTTAACCCCATTGCCTAAGCAAACAAAAAAAAAAAAAAAGAGAGAACACAGGGTCAATTCCATGCCATGGTGAGGCATGACTTTAAGAGAGAAGTATTAGAATAATTATAACAGTTCAAATTCCTCCAGGATTTACAATTCACAAAATATTTTTGATGTATGTAGTATTATTATTCTCACTTTGCACATGAAGAAACTGAAGCTCAAAGGAGTTAAAAGTAACTTGCCATAGTCAGAGAGCTAGTGTCAGAGCTGAACCTAAACTCAGGACCTCCAATGCTTTTTCTATCACACCAAAATGCATTCCACCTTAAAGTACTTCCTTCCATCTATCTATCTATCTATCTATCTATCTATCTATCTACCTATCTATCTATCTATCTATCTATCTATCTATCTATCTATCAGGAAAATATGGCCCAGAAAAGTGAAACAAAAGGACAGAACTGAGAAAATCAGACTCAACGTGCAGGGAAGCAGATTTCAGTTTCATTTAATGAAAACTTCTTTACCTTACAATTAAAACTATGCAAAAAGTTTTCATCAGGAGGTAGTGAGTTCCCCATCACTAGAGGTCTGCTATTAGAGGCTGACTGACTATTTATCAAGTTATTGTAGATAGAATTATTGTTAAAATATAGGTTGAACTACATGATCTCTCTAGTACCTTACAACTCTTAAGATTCTGGACCTTACCCAAGGTCACATCACTCCTAAGTGACAGAGCCAGCTCTCAACCCAGGACTTTTGGATGCAGGTCCAGTACTGTTCCTACTATACCAATGCTATCTGTTTTATCTTAGAGGACTAAGTTGTTTTCAAAATGTGTTAAAAAGTTAACTTGGCAGGGTCCGGTTAGGTCTTAGATATTATTCAGGTTTGAAATCTGTTTGATTTGGAACATGATGTGCTCTGAGTATTTTCTATTTCGTAGATAGAAAGATAAGGATATATAGACATATCTATATCTATCTATCTATATCACACTGTGGGGATAGGATGGGATAAAGAGCTGGCTGCCAGCACTGTATCCCAGCACTCTGGAAGGAAATAATTTTGTCTTCTTAATATCCTTTGAATTTGCTTCAAATATCTTAACATAAACTGTGGAGGCTTCTGAAGTATTAAATTAGAAATATAGTCACTCAATAATCCATAAGGATTTACCTCTAATAAGCCTTTGGGAAAAACAAAACAAAACCAAACCAGTTCATAATAGTGCTGTCTAAGCAAATGGTTAAGAAAGTTCAAGAAATTACTAATAGTTGTTCCATCATTGCCTATGGCTGTGTTGCCTGGAAATAAGTTCCATACTGTTCCTAGACAAGGCATATAAGGAAATGTCATGGGAATTCCAGAAAAGGCAAGAAGAGGGGCACTGCTGGTCTATCTCTGGATTGATTCCCTTTGGGAAAAGCTGACTGAAGATTTTCTCTGCCAGTATAGAAACTGAAGGGAGTAAAGAAGGGAGGGAAATCTCATCAACTGAAGTATGTGGAACCATCCCAGAAGGACATGGGAAGCCAAGTCAGGGTAGAGGAAGGAACAACATCCAAAGTCAGGCAACCAGCTGCAGACTACCCTGAAAGTCAACAACATCTTGTCTCTACTTCATTAGACATTAAGGTCAGTAAGCAGGGAAAGGATCACCCCTACCTTGAAAGAGAAGAAAAGTTTCACCTACAAAATAGAAGGCCAGTAGTTATAGCCCTTAGGATACAGAAAAAATGACAGTAGGTGATTCCCTCCTAAGGGAACCAGAAAAAGTCAGCCCTTCTGCATCCAAATATAGAACCCCAGGAGAAGGACCTACATCATGACATCAAAGAGAACTCCCACGCTGACTAGTGCCCTTAGTTCCTTCCCCACCTGGGTATAAATTATCCAGTGAAATCAGATCCTGGGAAGACTAAAGGGAACTAGGCAAGTTCTAGGCAAGATAATAAAGAAGAGAGCTAGCAGGAATATGCATAACTGATATGCATCATCTAGCTCAATCTTAAGTAAAACTTTTGATTTTCAGCACAATGTCAATAAACTGATCAAACATGGTTGGGGCTACACAAATACTGCTATTTGTGTTGACATACAATGGATAGAGAGTTATGTCTACAAAGTCAAGCATAGGCTAAAACTGTGTATTTCCTAACACAGCTCTCCTTGGACTTTTAGAAACTCATTTAAGATTAATTTTCCCCTATCTGTAAAACAGATTCACTAGTTGTTTCATATGAAGGTTCAATTGCAGAAACATTTATCAAGTACCTACAAAATGCAAGTCACTGTGCTGGTAAAGATAAAAATAAAGAGATGAAAAATGGAAGTCCCAATCTTCAAAGACCTTACAATCTACTTGCAAGAATGACATTTATGCAGAAGAACATAATCAAAGAGCATTATTGTTGTTATTTAGTCATTTTTTCAGTGGTGTTTGACTCTTCACGATCCCATTTGGTGTTTTCTTGGCAAAGATACTGAAGTTATTTGCCATTTCCTTCTCCAGCTCATTTTACAGATAAGGAAACTGAGGTAAACAGGGTAAAGTGACTTGCCCAGGGTCACACAGCTAGTAAGTGTCTGAGGACACATCTGAACTCAGGAAGATGAATCTATCCACTAAGCCACCTACCTACTCCAAGATAAGAGCACAGTACGGGGAAAAAAAGAGATGCAGCAAAGTGCTCAAGGACAGCCTAAGGAAGAAGAGAACACTGAGGAGAATCATCAAAGGCTTCATGGAAAAGACAGGTCCGGAACTGAGTCTAGAAGAAGAATCTTCTTTTCTAAAAGAAAAGGATTTAGCAGACAAAGATGGGTAGAAGGCGTACTCCAGGCACGTGGGGAATGGCCCATGGGAATGCATGGAAGTGGGAAGCAACTGGTGAAGAACATGGAACAACAGGTAGTAGTCTAGCTGGAACCTAAGAGTGTCTGGAGAAGAGTCAAGTGACATAAGGCTGAAAAGACAGATTAGATAGATAGAGCCAGACTGTGGAAAGCCCTAAAAGCCATGCTAAGGACTTGGTACTTTATCTGAAGAGCTTCAAAACGTTTTTAAGCAGGAGAATAACATGGTCATAACTGTGCATTAGGAAAATTAACTTGGCAGCTCCATTAAGTAAAGCAGGCAGCAAGGCGGCACAGTGGATAGAGTGTCAGGCCTGGAGTCAGGAGCCTGAGTACAAATCTGACCTGAGGCACTTTCTAGCTGAGTGACCCTGGGCAAGGCACTTAACACCTTTTGCCTCAGTCTCCTCATCTGTAAAATGAGCTGGAAAAGGAAATGGCAAACCACTCCAGTATCTTTGCCAAGAAAACCGCACATGGGATCATGAAGAGTCGGACACAACTGAAATGACTGAACAATAAATTTAGTATGGCCCAAAGAAGAAAGAACCAATAGGCAGGGAGACCAATTAGGAATTTGTTACTATAGTCCAAGGGAAAAAAGATAAAGCCCTATATTGGGATGATGGCAGTATGCGTGGAGAGGAAGGGGCATATTTAATATATTATGGAAATAAAGTAGACAAGACTTGTCTAAGGAAGTAACAGACATAAGTTTGCTTCTGAGAAAAGCAGCTGCTAGTTAAAATTGCATTGACAGTTCATTTTTAGAGGCACAGGTCTGCTTGGAGTTCTAAAAGAAGCAGCCGCTCATTTTAAAATGTGATAGGCTATGGTATACTGAAGTAAATGAAGACCACAGAATGCTTCAGTGATTTGGATTAGAACAACTGAAGAACTTTTGATTTAATAACTTGGGAAATATGGATATCAAAACACTTCAATGATCACACAACAAATATAATTTACCTAATTTTAGACAGAAGATGAGAAATTGGTTACTAATCATAAGCTAAGATGGGATCATTTGCAGAGGACCCAAAGGCTGAACCAAGAAAGATAGACGAACTGAAAGGGTAGATTTCAAAACTACATAAGCTGAACCTGAAGCTGGAAGTGATGGAGACTATGCAATTGTTGTTCAAGGGTAAATCTGGCTGAGCATAAAGAACATCTTGGAAGCAAAGAAGTCACCTGGCAAATAAATTGTTTGGTCAAAGTGAGTTGTTGGTCAAGCACAGTGTGGATTAATTTAGTTTAGTAATGATTCAACACTGAAGCAACATTTATCAAGGAATTTTTATAGATAATACCAAAGAGGACACTCAAGTTTACTGGTCCAGAATTGTGAATTAACCTGAGCACATGGCTTTTCCTCATTCATGTGCTCCTTTTTCTAAGGGCCCACTTACCTACACAGATACTAAGTGAATTGGTGGAAAAGTGTGAGCCAAGTTTATGTGATGTATTTGCTACTCCCACATTTGCTTTAATACATGAGTATCTGTAATGTTATTATTATTTCTTTTGCCTTACTGTTAAGTAAATGCTATATTTAAGATCTAAAAGTGTCATGATTGTGAATGACTAGTTTTGCATAAATGGAAATATATCAGTACGGGCTTGAGAGGTGAAGTGGGGAGTAAGGAAAGTGTATTCCCCCAACCACATGGATATCAATTGAAAGAGTATGAGTACATACTCATGTATGTGTGGTGGACTTTCTCCGGGAACCCAGACCTCTCAGTGTGAGGATGGATTGGAGAAAAGCAAAGCAAACACTGACTAGGTGTTCACAAATCATGTGTAAAAGATGTGAGGCACTACAATAGTGAGTGGCCACCTTATCCACCCATTTCATTTGGCAATCAATTGGATGTGGAATGTTAAGGGCAAGGAACAGTCAAAGATGGCTGAAGTTTAGAGTCTTGGTCACTAGGGGCATTTTAGTCCTATAAACAGATATTAGGAAGTTAAGAAAAGAGGCATGTTCAGTGGGAGATGATGAATACAGTTTGGAACATACTGAATTGAAGGGGCTAATAGGACATCCTAATGGAGATATACAGCAGGCATTATGGTGAGCTACAGCTTAGTGGACAGCCTAGGGCTAGATGGATGCTTACTGAGTTACCTCAATAGAAGTGATAATTGATATTTGGTGATAATTCCCTAAACCGTAGGAACAGATGAGATCGCCCAGATAAAAGAGAGTAAAGAGAGAAGAGGGCTGAGGGAGAGGACACCCATACTTAAGGAGAGAGGATAAGATGACAATCTTGGAAGACAGTGAAGGAAATGTAAAGTAGAAGAAAAACTAGTAGGAGACAGCTTGCGTTCATGTAAATCCCTTTGAAAACAAACTTTAAAATCAGCTTATTTGGACTAACAGGGAAATGGTCACCAACACATGAAAGACCTGCCACCAAGAAGACTATTTCTTTTTAACTGCTACTTGAAACTTCTTCACTTTGCTGCTTGTTTGCTATTCAAGAAGGTAAAATTTGGTGATTGGTGTGCTAATGACATCTGAGACCCAAAGTGGCATATCCGGATAACATATAAAGAACTTCAGAGCCCTGCAGCACTTTTCAGCAGGTACCTGATGACAGAATGGCCCCTGAAGGATTCACTGTTTACAGGTTGAGTGGAAACACAGAGAGCTATATTCCATACTCGGCTCAAAGCACAGTGCACATTGACATCAATGGGAGCTCCATGCACAGAACAAGACTATGGTAGTCCCCTAAGGGCTACAGAGTGCTTACCTATTTTTAAAGTACACAACAGACACATACTTAAATTTAAAATTTCTCTCTCGAAATTTCTGTATACAAGCAAAAGAAAGATCATTTTCAAATGATGAAAAACTCAGCAAGCTTACGCTGCACCAACTATACCCTAACTATGAATAGGGCACTTTCACATGGAACTCACAAAAAGAAAAAGAGAAGACATGAACGGTAGAGTGAAAAGAACTCTCGAGTTAGAGCCAGAGGATTATGGCTCAGATCATTTCCAATTACCAGCTGTGTGATGCTGGACAAGTCATTCAACCTCTCTAGAGTTCAGTTTCCTAGCTTAAAAAAAAGGGGAGGCAGCTACACTAAATCAGAGGTGGGAGCGTTGGTCCAAACCTGAGTAATTGAAAATATTTTTCAAATAAATAAAAATGCAAACAGAACACAGAAATGTTAATATGTGGTTTTATAGGGCAACATGCAGCCCCCAGGGATCCTTAGGTACAGTTTGGTGACCACTATTTCTATGTGAGTTTGTAACCACTGCTCTAGATGGCGCTGAGGTCCCTTCCTGATCTAATATGCAAATGACAGATGGCCTATGTAAACGAATGGACATCAGGGAACAGCTAGTATGACACACATGAAAGCAAATGACACCGGGATCCAGAGAAAGGAAAAATCCAAATGTTAAATGTTGTAGGTATTTATGAACAGAATACCTACTTTGGTTTCTCAACTTCCTTTTTATTGTCAATGACAACTCCTCTAGATGTTTCCTTTTCAGAATCAGTAGCTGAATAAGACTCGCTGTCACTAGACTGCTCGTGTTTTTTCTTTGTTTTCTTGTGGTGTGGATGTTTTTTCTTTTTCTTCTTTTCCTTCTTCTTTTTTCTACTTGCCTGTTTAAACCTTTTGTGTGTATCACTGCCGTCTGAAAGCTCCAGTCTCGAAGGGCTCCTGCTCAGAAAAATAAATCTTATGATTCTTTTCAAAGAACAGGTTAGGGAAATATGAAGAAAAACTGAAGGGGGAGAGAAAGACAAGACAAGAAATAGTGCTTCCATAAATGAAACAGAGAACTTTAAATTTGATAGTCTTATAGGATCTCTCCCAAGAGACTCTCAGCTAAGTTTACAGGGTTAGAGAAAAAAATAAAGAAGCAAGAAGTTTTCATCAAATGATACATCCAATTTTGAGCAGACTATGTTTAATATTTTTAGGTGTACACATGATTAACATGTACCTTTAAACAAAAAGCATCTAGAAGTTAATTTACCAAATTAAAAAATAGGGCATTCTAAAAATGCAACATTCCAAGAAGTACATATTTAGTCCTACCTATTCCCACTAACATGGCTTTAAAGGCAAAAAACTGGGCCTACTTGTCCATGATTTTCAAAAGGCTAAAGCAGAGCATTATAATTCTTTCTCAAGTTCAGTAGCACAGCTGCATTACCATTCCTTAATTAACAAAGGCTTGTAGCACTATATACTCAGGCCCAGGGCTTAACAAGGTATACTACTCAAGGAGCTGAGTTTCTAAGGGGTTTACAAACCCATGTCTTCAGCACAGCTCCACAGAGTCATTTTCATAATCTTCAGGAATGAACTTTTAAAACTGAACACACACTATCAGATTGGCTAACAAGACAAAACAGGAAAATGATAAATGTTGGAGATGTGGGAAAATTGAAACATAATGCATTGTTGCTGGAGTTGTGAACTGATACAACCATTCTGGAGAACAATTTGGAACTATGCCCAAAGGGCTATAAAACTGTGCATATACCCTTTGATCCAGCAATACCACTAATAGGTCTGTATCCCAAAGAGATCATAAAAATGGAGACGGACCCATTTGTACAAAAATATTTATAGTACTCTTTTTGTGGTTGCAAAGACCTGGAAACTGAGGGGATGCTCATCAATTGGGGAATGGCTGAACAAGTCTGGTATATGAATGTAATGCAATACTATTGTTCTATAAAGAAATGATGAACAGGCACATTTCAGAAAAATCTGGAAAGACTTACATAAGCTGATGCTGAGTGAAGTGAGCAGAACCAGGAGAACATGGTACATAGTAATGGCAACATTGTTTGATGACTGACCTTGACAGCCTTAGCTCTTCTCAGCAATGCAATGATCTAAGTCAATTCCAAAAGACTCATAATGGAAAATGCTATCCACATCAGAGAAAGAACTATGGAGTCTGAATGCAGACTGAAGCATACTACTTTCTCTTTTTTTTTGTTTTTTCTTTCTTGTGGCTTTCCCCTTTTGTTCTGATTCTTCTTTCACAACATGACTAATGTGGAAATAAGTTTAATACGATTGTAACATGTACAACCTACATCAGATTGCATACCATCTTGGGGAGGGAGAAGTGGAGGGGGGAGGAATTTAGAACTCAAAATCTTATAAAAGTGAATGTTGAAAAAAAGTGAATGCTGAAAACTAAAAATTAATTAAAAAAAAACTGGACACAAATTACATATTGGTTTAAAAAAAAAAGCAACCTTTTTTCAGAATTTCATATAAGCCAGGAGTAGAATGTAAAAGGCATAAGTCAATTTTTATGAAAAAGAGATCAAAGTACGATTAAGGACCTATCTCTGTAGTTCCTCCTATTGGTTCTAATTCTTCTTTACAACATGATTAATGTGAAAATATGCTTAATATGAATGTAGATGTAGAGCCTATATTAGACTGCATGCCATCTTGGGGTGGGAGGAGGGGATGGAAGGGGAGAAGATTTGGAACTCAAAATTTTATGGAAGAAAATGTTCAAAACTAAAAATTAATTAATTAATAAAAATTTTTTTAAAAAAGAAATAGAAAAAAAGGAGCTATCTTAACTGTAAGATTTGAGAGATTATTAAGGAGGTCAGTAAAGTTGCTTTAAAGAAAGTGAAAAGAACAATATCTACATTGTCTATAACAATGTAAATAAAGTCAACATGGCCAGGCAACAAAACTGTTCAACTACAACATTTAATTTAGTAGTGCCACACTGTCTGTTAAGGAACCTCTCCCTCCTTTGTGCTGATAAATTGATATACTTTTCTGGGGAATAAACCTTGTAAGGAAGGAAGGATGCTTGGAGATTTGTTTGGAAATGTCTGTTGTATCAAAACAAATGTTAATAATAAATATTAAAACAAATAAATTTATGCTGCTTAAGAATCATGATACTGACATTTCCCTCCTGGCCTAATTACAAAAGCACTACCTGTAATTTCATTGCAAAATGGAAGGAGGGGGAGGAAAAGGGAGAAGGAAAGAAAAAAGGAAATGTCACACAGTGAGATAAGGAAAAATATAGCTCAGAAAAGATCAGTGTGGTGTTTACTAAAGTTTTTCAAGAAGCTTCATTTAAGCTAAGATGCAGAAGTTCCTTCTTATACTAGTTGCAGTGGCAAATAACACAACATGTAAGAGAAAGTCCATTAAGAAAAATGTCAAAGGAAACGCTACCTTGTAAGCAGTTGCTTCTCAGAAGTAAAGGCTGCAATCTCTACAGTATTTTGTTGCAGGGTTGGTATGTTTCCAGTACAAAAGCTTGGGTTGCTCAACCAGTCTAAATCTACACATGCAGAAGGGAAAAAAAAGATCAATAAAATTAGCGCAATATGTTCTAGAAAGCAGGAAATTCATCCAATCAGCCAATGACCTAATTCACTGCCAATGTCAGCAAACCATTCTAAATAGTCAAGGATAGCAAAAAGTGTTAAGAATAATTTTTATTGGGAAGAGGATGGGTTTTAGCACACTTAAATATTTGAGACTATAAAGTCCTTTATCTTTTCCAGCTACATTGTAAGTCAACATCAATTCAATTCAGCAAACATTTATTAAATGCTTATTATATGTGAAGCACTATTTTAGGTGTTAAGGATAGACAAAACCTAAATAATCCCTGTCTTTAAGGAGTTTATAGTCTACTGGGAGTACAAGGTATTTTGAGGAGAGGAAACCATTAATAACTGCGGGGTTCAGGGAAGGCTTATAGGAAGTGGCACCTAAATCCAGCCTGAAGAAAGAGGATCTTGAAAGACAGAAATGAGGATCAAGTACATTGTATATAGTATGTGTTTCATAAATGTTTTTTTCATTCATTCATTCATTGAAGGCACAGGTGAATTGGATTTAAGTGAGAGAGGGCTGTGCAAAGTCACCAGACTCATCTTTTCCTCCAGAGCCATCTGGATCTTAGTGGCGAGATATAGATCAGGATGACTGGAGATGGCCCTGGATGCTGTGGGAGACCTTGGCCTTTTTAAGCTAAGGGCTTTAACAGATGTTGTTGTTGTTTGCCCTTCATCCTTGAAGAGGACAATGACATCCATTAACTCTCTACGACAACAAAGAACAAACAGCCTCTGTGAGTAGAAAGAGGAGATGCCCCACTGGGGACCCAACTGGAATTGGCCAGGTGGTCAACACAGCTCTTTTCTTTCCTTCTGTCCACATAGGGTATCGTACCCTTAACGTACAGGTGCTCTGCCCAAAAGAATATAAATTCTGATCACTGAAACCTTTTTTTTTCTCAAGGACCATGCCTTAAACCCAAATCACTAGGGCTCTCATTGACTGACCAACAACAGGTCCCAGGCCAAGCCCTATTTGTCATTGTTGGGTCCTGACTGGCTCAGAATAACCATAAATAGCAATTGTTTCAATTTTGGCCAGAAACCCTAAGTGTCTTCCCCTCTCAGATTGGTTTTTTTTTTAATAGGTAAGGTCATTCTCTGCCTCAGTCAAACAGACCTGTTAAAGATCTTAACTTAAAAAGGCCAAGGTCTCCCACTGCATCCAACACCATCTCCAGTCACCCTGATCTATACCTTGTAACTGGACCTAGACGGCTCTGGAGGAAAAAGTGAGTCTAGTGAGGCGCAGCCCTCTCTCACTTAAATCCAATTCACTTGCACATCATGGCATCAACTTCCTGATATCATGGTCTTCTTCAAACCACTAAAGTAATTTTCCTAAAGCACAGGTCCAATCATATCATTAAACTCCAGTGGCTTGGCATTCAAAGCCCTTCATAACCTATGCTCCTACCTTTCCAGTCTTCTTCCCACCTTACTCCTCAACATGTATTTTTCAATCCAGTGACACTGGCCTTCTGGCTGTTCCTCAAACAAGATCCTCCATCTCTCAGCTCTGGGCATTTTCTCTAGCTGTCCCCCGATCCCTGGAACACTCTCCCTCCTCACCTCTGCCTTCTGACTTCCCTGGCTTCCTTTAAGCCTCATCTCATCTTTTACAGAAAGACGATCCCAACCCCTCTTAATTCCAGTGCTTTCTCTCTGTAAATATTTCCTGTTTATCCTGTATATATCTGTATATATTTGTCTGTTGTCTCCCTCATTCAATCTGAACTCCTTGAGGGCAGAAACTGTCTTTTACCTCTTTTTGATTCCCCAGCATTCAGTATAGTACCTGGTACATAACTGGTGCTTAATAAATGTTTATTGATTGATTATTTGATTCTAGTGAAAGGAACTCACAATTTTAGGAGACAGAAAGCAGAGATAGTAGGGGAGAAGCACCAGGAAATAGCCTGACAAGGAGAATGGGAAACTCTCAAAAATATAATTCTGAAAACACAAACAGAAATTATTCCAGTGAATAAGAAAAGTAGCGAGAGTGCTATCTAAAGGACCAATGGGGTTCCAAAGGGAACTCACTAGCCAACTGGGACTTTTAGAAAGCATGTGATGAAAAACAAAGAAAGAAAAGATAACAAAGAAGTCATACAAGAGTGGAATAGGCCTGTAAATATAGGGCAACGAGTGAGAAGATCCAGAATGAACCAAGGATGGCAAATAATGCTAATGCCAACAGAAATTTTAAAAATCTCTTTGGAGAAAGAGGAAAATCAAACAAGGACAGGACACCTGCCTAAGACAGACAGTACAGGAATAAGAGATGAGAATGAGAAGACAGAGCTACTTAACTTTTAGTTTGCTTGTTTTGTCTGCCAAGAGAATGATCTTTCGACTAAAAAGAAACAGAAACAGTTAACAGGGAGTTGAGATTAAGGTAAGTGAGAAGATGGCAAGAGAACTAGCTGCCTTGAATAAGTTTCAAGTCAACAGAGCTAGACTATATTGTAGCGTACTGAAAGAATTGATATATTTGCCTGGCAAACCTAGGTTGTGATCTTTGATCAATGAGGAATGGGGGAGGTATCATAAGACTGGGGTGGGCAAATGTTTCCCCAATTTCCAAAACATATTAGAAAGTACAGTCTGTAAACCAGGCCCGCAACAAGCTGGATTTCTTTTTTGTTTTTGTTTTGTTTTGTTTTGTTTTTAGGCAATTAGGGTTAAGTGACTTGCCCAGGGTCACACAGCTAGTAAGTGTCAAGTGTTTGGTCTGAGGCCGCATTTGAACTCAGGTCCTTCTGACTTCAGGGCCGGTGTTCTATCCACTGTGCCACCCAGCTGCCCCAACAAGCTGGATTTCTTGAAGGTGGCTAAGGAGCAAAGTAGAGAGAATGCTGCTTTTGGAGTCATAAGACATGAATTCCATTGCAGGCTGACATTTACTAGCTGTGTGACCCATGGGGATTCATTTGACTTCTCACAGCCTCAGTTTTCTCACCTATAAAATGAGGATAATAAGAGAACCTATCAAACAGGGCTGTTGTGAAAACTGAGTGTAATAACATGTAAAACATTTTGCAAACTTTAAAGCACTATATAAATGTTAGCTATTATTTTTGTTATTCTATTCCTGGCAAAATCCTAGAATATATTATTAAAGGAACAGCTTATGAGCTTTTAGAAAGGGCAATGGCAATCATTTAAGAGTTAGCAGCTACATGGGCAGTGGATAGAGTGCTGGGCCTGGAGTCAGAAGATCTGAGTTCAAATCCAGTCTCAGCAACTTACTAAGCTTTGTAATCCTGGGCAAGTCACCTAACCCTGTTTGCCTCAGTTTCCTCATCTGTAAAATGAGCTGGAGAAGGAAATGGCAAACCACTCCAGTATCTCTGCCAAGAACACCCCAAATAAGGTCACAAAGAGTTGGACATGACTGAACCGAATGAACAATAACAACAACAGAATTAGAATGGCTTCCTCTGTGATAGGTCATGCCAAACCAATCACATTTTCTTTGCTGACAAGATGACCACTGCATTGGCAGATCCAGAAGAACACAGTCAACACCTGCATTCAAGTGAGGCATCTAACAAAGTCTTCGATACTGCCCTCTCCACAAGACAGAGAAAGCAGGCTACACCAATCATTGGTAGTTTCAGGAATGCTTCAAAGATCGGCTCTGAAGAGCAGCCATGAATGGTGTAGGTGTCAGACGGGAGGAAGTCCTCGGTCGTCAGTGCATCCCAAGAGTCTGGATCTCGACTGCATCCTAGTTTATATATTAGTAGATTGGATGAAAGCACAGATGGCATGCTTGTCAATTTTCAGATGGCATGAAGCTAGAAAGGACAGTTAACTCACTGGATGACAGAATGAAAAACAATCTCAACAGTCTAGAAAGATGGGCCAAATTCAATAAGATAAAGTTGAATAGGACTATCACAGGTCTAGGGATACATGCAAAACTCTATATTTAGCCTGAAAAAAATCAACTTCACAAGTATGTGATGAGGGAGGCAGGACTAAACAGCAGTTCCTATGGAAAGGAACTGAGGGATTTAACGAACTACAAATTCAAAATGGATCAACAACATGACATGGCAACAACAACAACAACAACAACAACAACAAATCTAATGCTCTTCAAGACTGCATGAAGAGAAGCATGGTGCCAAGAACAAAGAAAGTAACAGTTTTATTGCACCTCGCCGAGGGCAGACCACATCTAGAACACTGTAATAAGCTCTAGGCATCCGATTTTAAGAAGATCATGGAAAAGTTGCAGTGTGTCCAGAGGACAAGATGAGGACAGGGAGCTCATTAAATACCGTACCACATATGCAGGTGAATGGAAAGAACCAGTGATGATTAGCTTTAAGAAAAGGTTTAGAAGGGATATGGACGTTACCAAACTTTTTCTTGTTGGCCTCAAAGAACAATAAAAAGTCTGCTGTCAATTTGTGTTTAGCATTGTACTGTTTGACATTATCAATGCCTTGGAACACAGGTATAGATGGCATGATTACCAAATATGCAGATGACACAAGCAGAGGGAATGCTAACACACTAAATCACAGGATCCAAAAAGATCTTGACAAGTTAAAGTCATTGGGTTGTATCCAAGCTGATGGAATGTATCAGTGATAAATGCAAAGTCTTACACTTGGGTTAAAAAAAAATCAATTTTATAAGGACAAGATAGAGAAGGCAAAATTAGCTAGCAGATGATCTGAAAAAACATACAAGGCTTTTCATCTACTAGAAGCTCAATACAAGTCAACAGTGTAAATTGGTAAAGAAAACATCTCATGGATCCCAGGCTAAATGAAGGCACAGTGTCCAGAGCCAAGACGATGATAGTCCTGCTATACTCTGCCCTGGTCAGAACGCATCTGCAGTATTATGTTCAGTCCTCATCACTACATGTTTGGAAGGATAATGATAAGCTGGAGCACATCTAGAAGGCAGT